CTCCTGGCTCTACAATTTTCTTTTTATTTTATTTATTTATTTATTTTTGGTACCGGGGATGGAACTTGGGACTTCGCGCCTGCGAGGCAGGTGGCAGAACCACTGAGCTAAATCCCTGGCCCTACAATTTTCTTTTTAAAAAATAATATTTTAAATATCTCTCTAAAAAAAATAAAAGTATCATTCTAAAAAAGAAAGGGCCAATGGGAAGGCGCCCGCTGAGTATGTGAATGAGCAGTCAGAGTGGGAGCACCCACAGAGGCAGGACAAGGAGGGAGCTGTTGGCCTTAGGAGGAGGGAAGATGAGGCAGCTAGCAGCAGTCAGGAGGAGGCCCCACTTGGGGTCAGAACTGGTAACTGGTCCGGGCTGGCTGGTCAGGTCTCTCACCTTGCTGTGGATGTGGCAGCAGAGTTGAAGGCTGCTGAGGAGACAACCCCTGAGACCTGGTAGCTGTGAGAAGGCTGGGGAGAAATAGGGGTGACCCCCAGGTCTCTGGTGGGGACCACTGTATGGCTCGTGATGAAATTCACTGGACAGGGAGCAGGGATGGGGCAAAGGTAAGTCAGAGCTGGGACTAGGTATCCAAGATGTAGCCACCGATGTCCAACAGCTATTTAGAGGGACAGGCAGTTTAGGGCGTTGGGGACCTGGGGACATCCCATTAATAAATCAGAGAAGGGGCTGAGTGCCAGAGATGGGAAGAAAATCCAAAAAGCAGAGAGGCAAATGACCAGGAGGAAAGGGCAGCAGAAAACCAGTGGCAGCAGAAGCTGCAGAGGGAGGAGGCAGCTGGGAGGCGAGGGCAGGAGGCTGCCTGAGCGGAGCCGGGAAGCCTTTGTGCAGTTTCTGCGAGCTGTGCCCCCTCCCCGCCCACACAAACTCTCAGCTTTCATCCCTTGGAGGCTGGGCCTGGGAAGGGAAGGCCTGGGAGGAAGAAAGCCCCCAGGCTGGGCCCCGTGAATGAGGCCTCAGAGCCTTGGCACATGGGGGACCCTTCCTTTGAATCCCGGCTGCTGTTCAGGCCTTAATTTGCAAGTCGCTCAGGGGCCCCGGGTCTCCTCATTCAGAAAAGGATGAGGCACCATGGAAACCTGGCCCCGGCTGCTCGGCAGGCACCCACTAATAGGGCTACCCCCAGGGCTGAAGGAGCTTGCCAAAGGCCATTAGTTGGCACCCACGCGGACAGGCCAACCTGTCCCCAACCTCATTGTTGAGGTTCCAAATCCAACAGCAGTGCCCAAAAGAACCTCGGGGGTGGGGGTTGCATTTTTTTTTTTTATGTCCCCTGGACCTGGAAGAATTTTTAAGTGTCTTTGTGGGAACTGGGGGTATTTCAGTGTTTAAGGCACGCTCAGCCAGGTGTGGTGGTGCATGCCTGTAATCCCAGCACTCTGGGAGGCTGAGGCAGAAGGATTTCAAGTTCAAACCCAGTCTGGGCAACTTAATGATTTTTCAAGATCCTGTTTCTTTTTCTTTTTGGTACCGGAGATCGAATTCAGGTACTTGAGCTTGCGCAGCAGGCGGCGAAACCGCTGAGCTAAATCCCCGGCCCAAGATCCTGTTTCTAAATAAGGGGATGTGGCTCAGTGTGAAGGCACTGGTCTCAATCCCCAGGACTGGAAAAAAAAAAAAAAAGAAAGAAAGAAAAGAAAAACAGGCATGCTACCTCCGGACTAAGCTGGAGAATTCCCAAGAGCACTAGTGGGAGTGATGGGCAAGGCTCATGTGGGAATGGGTTTGCATAGTCACACCCGCGCCCACCCGCGCCCTTCCCTTAGATCCCCAGCCCTGAGGGTGAGGGTGGACCTTACCTCTCCTTCTCCTGCCAGCCCTAGCTGAGAAGTCCCTGGAGGCGACCTTTGCTCCGCTCCTAGCCTGAGCCCTTTGGGGGATCACGGCCTGGAGCTGTGGGCTGTGGGCTTGTGGCTGGCGTGAAGTGTCAGTGCTTGGTTCTCACAGGGCCCTCCAGGCTGTGGCAGCTCCTCTGTGAGATGTTTTCACATAGATCCATTTGCCATGGGGCTCGTGGGTGATCGGGGTAACGCAGCCAACATACAAGGCACCACTGGGGTTCAGGCAAACCAGAGTCAGCGGGAATAGGGGGCTCAGGGAAGGCAGCTGCATGGAAGGGAAGCCACTGGGCACCTGGTCTGTGCAACAAAACCCAGATACCAGGTCCTGGTTTTTCTCCCCTCTCTCTCATCATACCTCTGTGTTTGGTTCCTAAGTAACTATTCCTTTCCTGCTCCTGAAACAAAAATTAAACAGCAGTTGGAGAAACTTCCTCACACACACACATTTTTGTTTCCTGATGCTCAAGTCCTCCCCCCTACTAAGGAACAGAAATTCAGAGGGGTGAGGTGTTCACGATGCCTCCGGAGCTACGTGTGGCAGATGGCAGCTCAGTCCCCCACGCCATGCTAGGGCTGAGGCAAGATGCCTGGGAATGGGGCCCCAGCCAGGGGGGCAGCAGCGACAGCAAGAGCACACCTGACAGTCCTGGAAACAAAGGACTGATGAACAACCCAAATACGTGCAGGACAACTGGGCCTTCACAAAGGCCAGGAACAAGCAGCACAGGAATGAGAGTCTTGTTCCTTCAGAAGATGCCTGTGTGAATTAGGTACAAGATGGAAATATAAAATACCAAAGGCCAGCTGAGCAACCCACCCCAACTTTCCCACCCCAACTTTCCCACCCCACTCTCAGTATTAGGGGTTAAACCCAGGGCCTTTACACTGAGCTACATCCTTATCCATTGAAAAAAACCCTTTTTAAAAAAATTTTTGAGACAGGGTCTCACTAAGTCACCAAGTTGTCCAGGCTAGGCTTGTGATCTTTCTTGAACTTGTGATCTTTCTGCCTCAGACTGCCAGAGTAGTGGGATTACAGGTGTGCACCATCCTACCTGGCCTCCTGAGCCATCTTGAGAGTTTCACATTTCAGCATCCAGATGTAACTTCTCTTGCTTTTAAGGTTGTTCCCCAGACCTGGTCTGCACTCGACAGGTGGTGGGCACAGTGCTGGGACTGCTGGCAGCCCCTGGGAATCTGGGGAGGTAGGAGCCTGGAGACACAGCCAACTTAGGCCCATGGCAGGGTTTGAGCCAAGTCTCTGGTCCTCTGTGATTCTCTGAGCCACTCGAGAGTGAACACAGCTTTCAACGTTAGAGGAGGAATTTGGAATTAGTTTAGAGAGGTTGTAATGGAATTTTTATTTAGATTTTAAAGGTTATAGTGCTTTCCATAAAAGGTATTTATAGCTTTAAAGTGAAGCAAAGCTCTGCTGTACTGATCTTGGTAGATCTGGGCTGGCTGGGCTGTCTTTAATAATGTCACTGGTCTTTTTGAAGGGAAGGTTTTGGTTCATCCAAGAGATTGTGGGCACAGTCCTCATTTCCCTTGTCAGGAGACAAAAATAGACATTCATCAGACAGAACCCAGCCAGCACAAGTGGGCAGGGTCATTCAACCAATGTCCCTTCTAATACAGCCAAACCAACCCACAAAAAGCTCCTAATATATCAATCTACTTTGTCCAAGCACCGGGCCCTGGGAACTTAGCCCTAGCTGGCACTGCCATTAATTTGTCAGGTCGTCCACCCAGAGCCTGGGGGGATGGTAGCAATGGTGGCTTCCTCTGGTCCCTCCTCCCTGTGGGATAGCGCTGAAGTCCTCTCCCAACACCTTGCTCTGGGATCACCCCTCCCCGCCAGGAACTCGCTGCAGAGCTCCTGTGGAAACCACCTGCCTGTGGCCCACGCAAGCACATACTTCACTTCTGCTTTTTTTGCCAGTTTCAGGGCTGCCTGGTTGTCTCAGCCCCCTCCCTGCACTTCCTCCACAGCTCCATCTGGTGGGCTGACACATCCCAAGGGCTGCAGAGGGCTACAGCCCTGCCTGGGTGCATCTTTGTGGTCACCTAGCCTCCTTAGGAGTGACGCAGCAGCCTCCCTGCTCCCGAGGCTGTGGTGTCTGCTCCCTCCCTGTCCTGGGGGAAGAACAGCGTGCTGGACCTGCAGGAGGTGGGTCCTGAGCAGCCAACCTCCTGAGCATCTTGGGGGATGCACAGAGGACTCCCGTTGGGGCCCCCATGGAGCACACATTGGCCAAGGGGCCGGTAGCCTGCCAGCTCTCCTGGAGTCCACACTGGCAGTGCAAGGGCCACAGGTGTGGATGCTGCCAGGCAGTGCAGCCAGGGCTGGCAGATTTTCACATCTTTGTTAGCGCTTGTTTAAAGGGCCTGGGATGAGGCAAGCATGGTGGCACACACCCGTAATCCCAGCACCCTGGGAGGCTGAGGGAGTAGGATGGCAAGTTCAAGCCCAGCCTGGACAGTGTAGCAACTTAGTGAGACCCTGTATCACATAAAAAATAAAAAAAGGGCTAGAGATGTAGTTCAGTGTGAAGGCCCTGGGTTTAACCCCCTGTCCCATGAAAACAACAAAGTTGGACTACTTTCCAACCTGTACCAGAGGGAGAGGTTTCCCTATTGTTCTTCAAGTTCAGGGTGATGTGGAGGCGTTGCAGCGAGATCAGAGCAGTGAGTGATGTGTGACACGAGACACCCCCACCAGAGCTGCACACACCTAAGCCTGCCTTAGGACTGCACCTGTGAAGGTGAGGTCCCCTCCATTTTCCTAGGGATGTCTGCTTGCTACCTTCCAGGCCCTGCCCACAGGCCCCAGGAGGCCCAGCCCCAATCCGGGAGATCCAAGGCCCCAGTGGGCCAGGCCTGGGTTGGGGGTGTGTGGGACCTGACCTGTCTTACTGAGCAGTACCAGTACAGAAAGAAAGTGTAGGCCCATCCCAGTCCCCTTCCCCTCCTGCCAAAGAATCCCCTGTTCCCTGTGCTCACACACAGACCCCTAACCCTCCAGGCCCTGGGCACCGGTTGCTTTGCGGCATGCTGTCCTGGCAGAAGGCACTGAGTGACCAGTCCTGGACCCTGGACATCAGCTAAAGACACAGGCTTGAAGCACTGTCATTCACTGAGATAACTTCAAGATGGAATGTTTGCTTTTAATAGATGAGCAATGTCCCATCAAAAGAGGCAGGCAGAAAAATGTACATATTTAAAATTCTTGGAGTATTTTCTTGGAAAACTCAAGTCCAGGGGCCAATATGGATCTTGTCCTCAGCTCTGCCTATTGGTCAGGCCCAGGCTGTGCATAGGATGGCCTCGATGTGCAGACACTGCCCAAGCTGGAGTCCTGCTTTGTCCCCTGTCCCCTCTCCTAAGGCTGATGTGCTTCCCTGGCCTGAGGCAGGAATGCTCCCACCCCATCTTCCCTCAACTCAGGCTGCAGTTCTGAGGGGTGAACTTTAACGGAGAAATGCCTTCTGCTCGTGGTGAGACACAGAATCGAGGACTCTGCCCTGGCCAATGTGCAGGGACAGGGGGCAACTGTGCCATCCTTGATTTAGTGGGCAGTCCTGACGGATGGCAGGTATCACCCGGAGCAGACGCTTGGGGTGAAAGGAAGGCAGGTCCACAGAGGGACCCCAGATTCGCACGACCCAGTCAGTTCAGTGGGGAGGAGAAAATCGATGGGGTGGCCACAGACCGAGTATGGAAATCAAGCCTGGCAGGGGCCTACAGTTACTCTGCCCACCATGGGGCTGGGCAGGAACCAGTATGCCAGCTCAGGCCACCCCTCGCTGCACATGGGAAGGCTGCCACGAAGAGGCTTAGGGGTGCTGAGGGGAGGGTGCTCTGGAGGGGCTGAAGTGTCCCGCAGGGGTACAGCTTCCTAACGTGTGATCTCTCCTTGGACAGCGGCTGATGCTGGGGAGAAGTCCTGCACCCCAAGTGCCGGGCTGAGGCTGGCCCCCACAGGATTCTACCAAGGATACTTAGGTTGCTCTTGTGCCTGGACACCCCTGAAACTCTGCTCAAGCTGGAGCCCTTCATCTTGGCCTATCTGGGGTTCACCTCATGACAGGACAAGGGACAGGCCAAAGCTGTGGGTCTTCAAAGGTGCTGCAAAGCCATTGCCTGTGATGCGGCTACTGAAGGGACCAGCATGGCCACGGGGACCCTGGCCCACTGAGGTGGCAGACTTGTCCCTTGACCCACAGTGGAACCCAGCCCCACCCTGAGACTCGGGCCGGCCTCCTCAACCAGCTCCCAGCCCTACCTGGGTTGACCCGGAGGCTGTGGCACCTGCGCTGCCCCAGGGAACCATGTGCCACTGTTCTGTGGTCACTGCCGGGGCTTTGCAGTGTTCACCCCTCCAGTGACCAATCCCACCGGACCCCACCCTGGGAAGGGCAGCTGTGGGGACACGGTGTGCTTCTGCTAGGCCACTGGGTGAGCTCAGCCCTGGCTAGCTCTGGTGTCACAGCGTGAGGACTCAGTGCTCCGCTGGCTCCTGAACAGGCAGCTCTCCACAGGTGAAGGCCAAGGGAAGGTGGTACATTGCCGAAAGATCATGTGTCTTTGTAGAGCTCTCTGGCTGCCCCTGGGTCATGGCAGATGTGTTTGTTGTCCCTGAAAGCCACGTGGACTGGAGACGATAGGACAGAGTGATCCAAGAGAGTGGCCTCCCCCAGAGGGTGAAATAAAGGCCACCAGGGCTCATCAGATGGACAAGCCAAGCCAAGCCAAGGCGTTCAGACCTGAGGATTCTGGTTTGGTTACCATGTCCTCTAGAGTGGCTCTGTCCTTTCCCCTGGTGACCAACACTTGGCGACAGCAACTAGGGGCCTAGAATGGGGAGGGGCTCTTCTTCGTGGGCAGTGCTGGCATGATGACAATCTCATCAGAGTCATCGGAGTAGACATCATCCACAGGCAGGGCCACTGTGGGCTGCAGCCCCGAGGGACAGGGTTCTGCTGAAATAAACCAGAGATGTTGGTCAGGGCTGGCAGCATGGACATACACCATCAGCAGCTCCCAAAGGGAAGGCCAACGTTTCACCCAGGACTGAGCCCAGGGGCAACCTTCAGAACCAACACACACCCTGCCAGAAAGCCCTCCTGGATCTCCCAGCTAGGAAGAGTTTGGCCATTTCCTAAAATGAAAGGAATCTGGACCTGGGCCAGTGGCGGGCACTAGTGCAGACAAGGCCACAGCCACCTGTGTGTCAGAGCCAGGCCTGGGCAGAGGACAGGCTCCCAGGCTGCATGCCATGGCAGGGAAGGGGGCTGGACCAGGCACAGCGGCTCCCAGGTGTTGACTGTGGTGAGCCTTCCCTGTGGTCACTATTTTCTTTTTCTTTTTGCAGCACTAGGTATTGAACCTAGAATTTGCCCTAAGCTGCATCCCCAGCCCTTCTTATTTTTTTTTTTCCCTTCTTATTTTTTAGTTTGAGATAGGGTTGCACTAAGTTGTTAAGTTGCCCAGGCTGGGCTCAAACTTGCCATCCTCTTGCTTCAGTCTCTAGGGTGCAGGGACCACAGGCCTGTGTGAACACACCCAGCTCACTTTCTTCATACACATTTGAACGCTTCACTCTACACTGGAATAAGGCGCCACCTCCAGCCCGATGAACAACCCCAGTGGGCCCTTGGGGCAGGGTGGGCCTGAGGAAGGGCAGTTCCTGCCCAGCAGCTTACCCATGGCTTCTGGGCAGAGCCAGAGCCACCCAGACCTTAGCTCTTGAAAGAGAAGGAAATTACAATTCAGCCACACAGTAGTCAATATAGCTGCCTCAGCTCTTTGGTTGCAACTTTCAAAAAAAATTAATATGAAAGTGGAACCTTAGGAAATTAAAAATGTTCAAGGTTATTTTCATTTTTTTCTTTTTAAAAGCACAACTCAAAAACAAGAGCTTGACTGACATGTTTCACATAGACGGGTGACTTCAAGTTGGCACATGCTGATGCCCACAGCAACTCTGACACCAGATGTGGACAGCGGGGTGAATCTGAGGCTTCAAAGTCACACTTAGCAAGAGGAGGAAAAGGCGGCTTAAGACACTGTAGCCCTGATCAAATAATCCAAAGGTTACCAAACACCAGGTCTGGAGGAATCAGCATAGTTTTTTGGAGAACCAGTTAAAGCCTTCTAGGCTGGAGGTTATAGCAGCTGCCAGATTTTCAGGCTTCAGTATCTGTACATCCTTCCTCCAAACCCTGGGGTGGCTGAGCTTTTTCCTTGAGCTTTGCAGATGGAGATTTTGGAGAGGATATCAAAGCTAGCTCTGACAAAGCTAGGTATAAAGTGGCTGAAGTAGATAGGATGCAATTTTGGATGTGATTTTCCAGGCCAAACATGGTGTGACATTCTTAACTTGAGTAGGAGGGTGTAAGTGGCCCCTAGTGCCCAACCCAGAGAGAGACCGCCAGGCCGAGGGAGGTGCGGGCTACCAGGTCTGGCCAAGCTGAGTCAGGGCTTACCCTTGATGGTCGACTCTTCTGTCAACAGTGAAGGGTGATCACTGCGAAGGTATCACCTCTGCCACTTACCACAGTGGGGCTGCAGGCTGGCCGGCTCCCCTGCCTCGTCCTCTGCAGCCATCCCATCGCTGGCCTTGCTGTCCTCCTTACCTGGAGGGACATGCACATTGGACCCACACTGCGCATAAGGCATTTGTCAGTCCCAGACTGTCACACACCTGCCACCCACCGCCCTTGCCTGTCCTTCCCTGGGTCCCCGGAGACCTGGGAAATGTCCCTGTGGAGGATGTCAGGTGACACAGCACCTGGGGGCCACATGCACAAGTCAATGTGGACTGCGTTTCTTTTGTTGTTGTTGGTGGTGGTGGGGTTTTTTGGTACTGGGGGTCGAACTCGGGTTCTTGTGCTTGCGCAGCAGGTGGCAAAACCACTGAGCTAAATCCCTGGCCCATGGACTGCGTTTCTTTAATGACCGTCCTCAGGCTCCACCCACACCCTGCCTCAGCCTCAGCTCTGCAGTGACATCACAGCCAGCAGTGGCTGCTGCAGGTGCTTCTGCTTTAGTGAGGCAGGAGGACTCTGAAGCACATCCACTGGGTGCCAAAAGCTACTTCTGAGCGAGAGGAGACACCAGAGGAGGGCAGCCTGTAGGGTCACCCTCCGTGTGGGCGGGGCAAGGACCAGAGCTCACAGCCAGGCCTGCATCCCTGCCCCAAGGGTTCTTTGAGTCAGTGCTTTGGGCTTTGGGGAAGCAGAGAATCAATGTTTTACTGAAACAGAGAAACACTGGGCCAAGGGAGGGAATCTGCTAGCTCTAGATGCAGTTGAGAACAAAGACACAGAGCTGGGAAGCTCATGGGTGGCTCACAGGGAACTGTGGATGGGCAGGGCTGTCCGTAAGCTCAGGGAGCTCCTGGTCACCAGGCCGAGAGGAAACTGGGCCGAGGGTCTTTCTGGGTGACATGTGGCACGCTTGGGTGCACCAACAGTGTTACAAACTTCCCTTGCATCCTTACACGGCCCCAGGCGGTCTGGAAGGTGGGTGCATTTTGGGCTTAACCATTAGAGGGCCAGCTGCACCTTGTGTGAGAATCAGGTGCATGAAATTACCAGGAGAAGCTTCGAGGCGGGTTGGGGAGGAGGTTTCGGCTGCAGCCGCTCTGCTGGACGTGATGCCAGTGGTTCTGCTGGCGATGCTGGAAAAGAGAAAAGCTCTAGCTCATCTGGTGGCACAGGACAGGATCTGCAGGCCTGCTGTGTCACTGATTGGCCCAGGGCCCAAGGTGGGGGGACTCTGAAGGGCCTCAGACATGTCCTCTGTTTATTTATTTGGGGCACATGCTGTGGCTGGGTCATGCTTTTATGAGCAGCTTAGCCATCTTCCTGTCCTCTGCCTCTGGTTCCCAGTGGACATGGTCACAGCCCACACAGGTGAGTGCCCCTTATCAGGTGGAGTCAGGACCAGGGCTCCAATTTGGCCTGGCTCTCCTCAGAACTGCAGACAATGAGACAGGTGGCTGCCACTTCCTGCCAGGCAGACAGACAGCAGAGCATGGCAAGAGGGAGGACCAGCGTGACACTCACCTGTGCCTGGCCCTGGCCAGGTGTGCCCGGAGGACAGACTGGATGATGGTGATGGCCTCCTCCTGCTCTGGACTGCCCTCAGGCTGGGTGACGGGACTCAGCACTCGCGGTGTGGAGGAGCCCTGTGGTGTGAGGATGAGGGAGAGAGCCGTTGGGCACCTGTGGCCCACAGTGCCTCCCTCAGACCATCAAGGGTCAGGATGAGCTGCTGCCTTTCAGGTGCACCCCATTACTGCTGTGTGGTTAGCAGCCTCCTGACTGCAGGGTCTTGTTTTATTTATTTATTTTTTGAGACAGGTTGGCCTTGAACTTGCGGAGTTCCTCCTGCCTCAGGTTGGGATTGTAGGCTTGTGTCACCATTCCCAGTGGGTCTTAGGTTTTAAACTCTGGAGAGGCTTTATTTATTTTTTTTGCAGTAATGGGGATTGAATTCAAGGCCTTTGAACTGAGCTACATCTCCAGCCCTTTTCATTTTGAGACAGAATCTGAATAAACTGCTAAACTGCCCAGGCTGGGCTCAAGCTTGCAATTCTCCTGCCTCAGTCTCCTTGAGTGCTGCGATTATAGGCAGGAGCCACCATGTCTGGCATACTCTGGGCACTCTTAACCATCTCACATGATTTACTGAGGATGGAACCTTCACGGCAATGTCAATCTTTATCAGCTCTCAGCTTGTCTTCACTGTGAGACAGAAGTGCTGTTTGACTCTCCAGACCTCAAAGCATCCGGCTCTGAGGCTAAGCCCAGCCAGTTCTGCAGCAGAAGTGGAAGACTGAGGGCCCTGCACTCTTCCTGATGGGTGGAGCCAAGAGAAGCAGCCATGGAGGACAGACCATGAGGCCCATGTGCAGCCCTGGATGGGTGTGCGGTCAGGACAGCCTGGCCAGCTGGGCAGTTCTGGACCACATGCTCTGCTTGGTAACAGCTTGGCTCGAGTTAGATGGCCCCTGAAAGCTGCCTGGAGCACAATGGCCACCTGGCAGGAAAGGAAAGAGGAGAGGAAGGCAGCTGTTAGCTTCCCTGGAAGACACTGTGTAGCGACTGAGGAGTCCAGGGGAAAGCTGCACGGGCAGAGAATAGCCGTTCCGTCCTGTTGCACAGCCATCAGCAGCAGCATCTCAAAGCCTTCTCTCTCCCACCACAGAACTACCCAGGGTGAGAAGGTGTCGGGCCTCGACACAGAAAAAGGCAGATGCCTGAAGCCCAGCAAGTGGATTCTTGGGATGAAAATGAATCAAGAGGCCATACACAACTACACTGAGCTAATACCAGCCCACACTTCACACAGAGGTGTGTTTTATGCTAGGGTTGTTTATTCTGTTTCATCTACTTTCCGTCATATGCGTCTCCTAAAATCGTGAGTGATACTGTAGTAAGGTCTCTAGAGCGATCTAAAGGAATCGTATATCCTTTGACCTTAATCTTCTATGCTTCTCTTGAGAAATGTGCCAGGACACTCTAAGGTCTGAAAGTGATGCTCTGTATTTGAGCAGAAGCATTCTCGCCCTTTTTAAATGGTATTAGGGCTGAATGCAGGGGTGTGTGCCGAGCTACAGTCCCAGCCTTTCTCTCTCTCTCTCTCTCTCTCTCTCTCTCTCTCTCTCTCTCTCTCTCTGAGACAGGATCCTGCTATGTAGTTCAGGCTGGTCTTGAACTCAGTGGCAATCCTCCTGCCTCTCCCTCTGGAGTGCTAGGACTACAGGGACATGTCACCAAGCCCGGCTCTCAGCCTAGTCCTAACCTTTTGAGACACGGTCCCACTAAAGTGCCCAGGCTGGCCTAGAATCTGTGATCCTCCTGCCTCAGTCTCCCAGAGTGTGCACCACCATGCCCAGCTTGAAGCACTCTCTTTCTGAATGATCCTGCTTGGTGCCCAAGTTAAAACCATCACAGCTTGGGAGGACTTGCCAACTGAAAACTCTATGAGAATGGCAAGCACACTGAGCCCTGATGCGACTAGATTCTGAGGTATAGACAGTTCAGTTGTAACTGCCAGCCAATGTTTTTCTTGGTGGGAAGGTAAAGGAAGTATCATCTACACAGGGTAAGAAACGCAGCAAAGGAAGGCGAGATGCCAGTTACAGGGATGAGAACCTACGACAGGCACTGGCAGCACTTAGCCTAGCCTGGGAGGTCTATAGCAAAGGTGCTGTATAAGCTGAAATTAATCCAGCCAAAGCTCTCAGGAAGCATCCTCCACGCCCCAGTCATGTGCCCTCAGATTCAGCCCTATGAAGGGGCCTCAGCCAGGCCTGGTGGCTCATGCCTGTAATCCCAGCTCTTGGAAAGCTGAGGCAGAAGGATCATGGAGAGTTTGAGGCCACCCTGAGTTACACAGTGAGTTCAAGGTAGCTTGAACTACTTAGCAAGACCCTGTCTTAAAAGGAAGGAAAGGAAAGGAAAGGAAGAAAAAAAGAGAAAGAGAAGGAAAGGATGAAAGGAAGGAAGGGAGGGAGGGAGGGAGGGAGGGAGGGAGGGGGCCTTAGTAGCACCTTTACTTTAGAGAAGCAGAAAGTGAGGCTGAGGGAAGGAAGGCAAAAGCACGCTGAGGAAAGCATATGCAGTCTGCCTAGCACCCTGGACAGCCCCACACTCCTTCCCTCACTCATTCCTCAGAAAACACTGCCCAGGTGCTGTGGTGGCAGACACCTGTAGGAGAGGGAGGGGGGCTCAGGCAGGAGAGCCACAAGTTCCAGCCCAGCCTGGGCAACCTAGCAAGTCCTGGTCTCGAAATAACAAACAAAAGGAGAGGGCTGGGATGCAGCTCAGCATGAAGGCTCTGAGTTAAACCCCAGCACAGGGTAGGAGAACCCCACACCGCATCGCACCATAGGCCAGGCACTATTCTACCAAAGAGGGGCACAGTGGGGAAGAGGTGGTCCCAGCCTGTAGGAAACCTGCATCTCACTGGGAGAGACGGCAGCAGCGGCAGTGACACAGCACAGCGTGCATGCTGTGAAGCAAGCCCAGGGCATGGACCCTCGGAAGGGTGCTCTGAAGAAGCGACATTCCAGGGAGGGGACCAGACATGCCAGCATCCTAGGAGAGCCACCAAGACACCAGAGTTGGAGGGTGGCACGGGAGCCAGGACACAGGGCAGGAGTGACTCTGGACTTACTCTCAGGTGACAGGAGGACACTACACGGTGGGGGTATCTAATGTTGAAAACGTCTTCCTGCTGGCTGCACAGGGTGGGCAGATTACTATCACGGTCTAGGCAGGAAGTGATGGGGTCCAGGTCAGGGAAAAGTCAGACTACAGAGATGAGGGTGAACTGTGGGCATGTTTCAAAGCAGCTCACAGATTTGGCTGGGTTGGTGGTGGGATGTTGGGGAAAAAGCAAGATTTCAACACTTTTGTCCCGGGCAAGTGGATAGATGGTAGGCACTACCATTGAGGAGCAGGTACAGGGTGGAAAGCCCAACTTCTGGAGCCGGGTGTGGTGCTGCACACCTGATCCCAGGAATTGGGAAGCTAAGGCAGGAGGATCACGAGTTCGAGGCCAGCCTGGACTACACAGTGAGCTTAAGGCCAGCAAGACCCTGAAAAAAACCCCAACTTCTCCTCTGGATGTGTTTGGTCTGAGTTGACTTTGCACAATCAGCACAAGGCAGCGGGAAACAGGAGTGTGGGGCGGCTGGCTGAGGTCGCTAGAGCCTGAACAGGGTAGTGAGGGGCAGAGGAGGAGTCTGCCTCTAGCAAGGCCCTGGAACCACAGCAGTGTTGTGAGGGGAAGCAGTGGCTGCGCAGCCTGCGGTCGTGTCTCACCCCTCATGGCAATGTGGCCTCTGTCCTGACAGTGGTGGGGAGCTCACACTGTTTGCTGCCCTCCGGGCCACTGAAGGAGAGTTCCAGGGTGGGTCCTGGGGCAGCCAGACAGTCTGGAGAAGGTGGAGACTCCGAGCCAAGAAACCATTCAGTGCTCAGGGCTGACTGTTCTCCAGAGGCACAGGGACATCACATACTAGGCTGCTGGACAAGGGTGGTGAGGAAGGTCTCTCTCTCTTCTACATTTTAAAGGTCTTTTTAAACTGTGGCAAAATACACATCAAGTTTACCCTTTTAGCTAATTTACAGTGTGGTCTGGTGGCACTGACCCCTGGGCTGTGCTGTACAGGCGTGGCCACCGTCATTCCAGAGCTTTCCATCGGCCCAAACAGAATCCCTGCCCTTCACCGCCACACACCGTCCCCATGGTCCCCACTCCTGGCAACCACAGACCCACTGATGTCCCAGGGGTCACCTACCCATGCTGCCCTCCTTCCGTCTGAGCAGCATCCTGCTCTGTGGACAGACCACACTCTCCAGGCCAGGCTTGAGCAACTGTCTCAGCGCCGCTGGGTGCGCACAGTGGGGAGGGGCAGTGGGGTCACAGGGCGACCCGGGGTCCAACTTTCTGAGGAGCGGTCACTCTGTGTTCCCCAGCAGCGCTCGTGTCACAGGGCTACCAGGAGAACAGAGGCTCCACTCTCCGCACAGCGCCGGGGCCTGCTACTGTTGCCACCCTGTCTCGGGACTGTGGCTGTCCCCGGGGGAGCTGGCTCGCTGTACACCTGGAGGTCAGCTGACCACTCTGTCCCTCAGAGGAGTAAAAAGCACACTGGTCAGTGGTGGTGGGGCCGAGACTGGCAGAGAGTTAGGGCCAACGTAACTGTCACTGAATTGGGTGGTCAACTGGCGAGTGGGCCCTGGGCAGTGCTGAAGGCCACTGTGCCCAGGGTCTCACAATATTCTGGTCACATTCGGGAGGCCGGGAGAAGGCAGGATGAGATTGGGCTGGTTGGGAATGAGGCACAAGGGGGACATGGCAGGATGTGGTCCAGGGGAAGCAACAGGAAAGAAGGGAAAGGTCAGAGAGTGCTATCAGAAATGGCCACTACAGCTGGGGAAGGAGAGAGGTGCCCCCAGGGTGGCCGGCAAGGGGCTGAGACACGAAGCAGGGAGAGGGAGCTGAGGCAGCTCCTGACGTGGAGGTGGAGGACAAGTGCGGCAGAAGGAGGGACTGGCATGAGGGTGGGGTAGCAGGTCTGGCTGGCAGAGGAGCTCACTACCGTGACATGAGTGTGCACTGCCAATACCCACAGCCTGGGGCCATGCTCTTCCACATCTGCCTTACTACAAGTCTGTAACCGTGTCCTGCTGTCCTTATTAGCTTGCCCAGGGTCTGCACTGCCAGGGAGCTTGCCAAGCTGAGGGTGAGGGCCCAGCATAGCCCCTGAGGCAGAGCACTGGGAAGACAGAGCGGGAAGGAGCTCCCAGGAAGGAGGAAGCTGGTACCCAGCGCTAGAGACTGTTGTCTTCCAAAGTTGCTGCAGCCTGGGGGGCCAAGAAAAGTGTTAAAGTGGCGAGGGGCCCACGACTTGAAGAAGACATGGGTTTTAGTTTTTATAGCTCACTGACAAAGGGCCATGGCTCGGGAGCAGGCTGTCCTCAGCTGCCCTCGATGCCCCAGCCACCAGCGCTGCACCTCCCTCTCTGCCCTTACCCCGGCTCCCACCGGCCACACAGCCTGCACTCCTCCTGGGGGTCGCCTTTCTCACAGGGACCCCGCCCTCCAGCACAGACGGCCTACTCCAGCACCACCTGAGCTCTACCTGGCCCTCACATGGCGGTCAGCACCTTGTCTTTCAGCCGATCAGACTGCTTGACACAGAACCGACATGGGTGCACAAGTGTTGAAAGAATGAATAAAATGAATGTTCGAAGTGCAAAGTTATTCTAATATTTATTTGATGCTTCTCTTATTTATGCATTTTAAACTTAATGTTGGGGTTTGCTTTGATGTCCTGAAAATCAGGGGTTAATAATGTGTCTTTAAGTATGCCAACAGTTTCTTTACTCAGTCAAAACAGAGATTTGGAAATTGGTGAAATTAACCTTGCTTACCTCATCCAGGACAGCCTTTTTTTTCTGAAATAAAGAAATAAAAAATGAATTAATATGACAGGAATGAATTCTTCACAGTACTTTTCATTCCTTGATCTTGCCCTGACAGGAGACAGTGCAGACAGCCAAGTCGCTCTTTCACAGACCCAGTGGCCCAGGGGTTGGCAAGAGGGAGGCACAGGGCTGCTCCACACCCTTTTGTGCCAGGTCAGAGGGCTCCCATGGCCAGATTCAGAATATCTGAACACTAAAAAGAATAAAGACACATTTAAAAATATTGAGTCCGTAGTAACCTTCAGAGAGAGAGAACAAATATATGACTCACTTGCTCTGCTGAAAGTGACTATCAGAACAATTCCTTACCCTGAAACCAGGGAAGTAACTAAGCACTGCCCTGTGTCATAAGACGGACCTGAGCTTATGTTCACTGATGAGAAAATGGTTTTACAGAGGGAATGTGGTATTATGTAGAAGAATGGAACTGGGGAAAAGCCGCCCTTCTGCCCTTCTGTATCTGGAATAAGGAGGAGGTCAGGGGCCCCAGGATGCTGAGCTGGAAGGTAAGGGGTAGAGGGACAGGACTTGCCCTCTGCAGGTTGCGTGACTCTCTTTAAAAATGTGAGTGCGCAGCCACCTCCTTACCCTGACAGTGACACTTAGAAACACTTGTGGGGCTACTGGTCTCTTTCTTTTTGATACTGAGAATTGAACCCTATACCTTTATTTATTTAGTTTTGAGATGGTCTCATTAAGTTACCCAAGCTGGACTTAAATGTATGACCCTTCAGCCTCCCAGTGTTAGAGTACTGACCTCATTTGTGTCTTGAGGCAATGTGATAAACTTAGCCTCACCTACAAGGTGCTCATGCTAGAAACCTTAAACCTGAGTGGAATCAAACCTAGAGACCTAATTTCTCATTTATAGGAAATGGAAGGGATAGAAGAGCAAGATAAATGACACCATAAGGAAACATCTGTAAGGACTATCCTATAAAGTGCCAGCCTACTCTCTTCAAAAAGAAAATGTCTTTAAAAAGAAAAAGAGGGTTGGGGCTGCTGGAACCACAGTAAGGATACTCAACCAGTGAGCTCAAGGCTTTGGTGATGAGGACCCCAATCCAATCTCAGCAGGTTAATGTCCTTTTTCTTCCAAGAAATATGGTTAAGTACTATTGTTTTTGTTTTTTGTGGGTTTTTTTTTCGGGGGCGGGTACTGGGGATCAAACTCAGGACCTTGTGCTTGGGAGGCAGGCGCAGCGCCACTGAGCTAAATCCCCGCCCCCTTAAGTACTACTGTTGAATTGAGATAAGGGCAAGTAGAACATATTGCTGAATATACTAAATTCTTTCAACTTTTCCATAAATTTTGAAAATTTTTATAATAAAATCTAGGAAGAATCAATGATTTTGGGGGACAGTACTAGGGATCAAACCCAGGAGCACTTACCACTGAGCTACAACCCTAGCCCTTTTTATTTTTCGAGACAGGGTCTTGCTAAATTGTTAAGATGCTTGGGCAGGACTTGAACTTGATATCCCTGTGCCTTAGCTTCCCTCAGTGCTGAGATTACAGACCTATGCCACCATGCCTGCCTGGCTCAGAAGCAATGATTTAACTACACCCCCCTCCCCCCACAGCAACCTGCTGGAGCTGAGCTCTTACAGAATGCAGACAAGCAGAGAATGCTACCGTTTTTGTTTTCAACTAGGGGGAAAAGGTGGTGACCATTTAAATACTGAGTAGATCTTTCAGAGCATTTGGCTCATCTAAGGACACTGCAGCACACATCCCATAGGAGAGCCACCTCAGGAGCTCAGGAAGGAAATCCTGTCCCTCTGTCACCTCACTCACCCACAGAAGGGCCTAGTGTAGAGTCACAGCCAGAGACCCATCAAGTAGACCTTTCCACCCAACTCTTTCCACCAGATAGGCCCCTCTTGTGAGTGGCTGTTCCTGGGAGCCCTGGAAAAGGGCTAGCCATCAGCGATTCCAAGTTCCTGAGTGTAGTGGCAAGGAAGCTGAGTGATCCTGTGCACCTGTGCTCAGGGCTGTAGTCAGCTTCTTCACCACCCACCCAGGCTTGTGAGCCACTCACTACAGGGCCCAAGGGATGGGCCAGGCTGCTCAGAAGGACTTCAAGATGCAAAGGTGCCCTTTTGTGCTCCCCTTTGCTTCCCTGTCAGCATTGACCATGCCACATGCCTCAGCAATGGCCTGGGACTGGAACTGGCACACAGAAGGCAAACGTTGGTGTTGGACACACAGATGGCAACTGCTTTCTCAGTGGACACATGGCCAGGGCGGGCGCTGGCCTCCTTGGGAAACTCACCATGCATGCCCGGGCCTTCCACCAGGCCTGCAGGGTCCTAGCAGCCGCCTCTCTCCTCCTGTCAGTGCTGGTGGAGGGCCAGGAGGAGCTGCCTTCCTCCTCAGAATTGGAATCCCGCTGCAAGGCTGTGCTGCCTGGAGGGCGGTTGCAGGGTGCTCCTTGGGCCTGGAGGAAAAGGCAGGTGTGAGGGGGCAGAGACTGGGGTCAGGCAATGGGATGCACTGGCCACACCTGTCAGAGGACAGTGTGCACCTGCATGCTTGGCCACCTTGCCATTTGGCTGGAGCTGCAGTAAGCAGCCCAGAACCTCCCAGCACGGGCAGCAATCTCCTGCACTATGGTGTCCACAGGCACCCTCGTCCCAACACGACACTCAAGACCTGCCTGTCTCCTGTGCTCTTTTCTTGGGTCTATTAAAAGTTTAATATAGTATCATGAAAGTGGGATTTCTAGGATGAAAGGCAAAATAGTTCCAGCCTTTTTTTTCTTTTTTTTAATGCACTATTATTCTGAACCTAGGGCTCTGGGCATGGTAGGGAATTACTTTACCACCCAGCTATACCCCCAGCTCTTTTAATTTTTTTTTCTTTTTAGTTTAGACAGCATCTCACAAATTGCCCGGGCTGGCCTTGAACTTTAGATCCTCCGGCCTCAGCCTCCTGAATAGTTGCAGTTACAGGGATGTGCCACCATGTCTAGATTAGGTAGTTTGTTTTTGCGACAAGGTCTCACATGCAGTTCAGGCTAACCCTGAACTCACCATGTAGTCCAGGCTGGCCTCAAACTCATGGCAATCCTCCTGCCTCAACCTCCCAAATGCTAACATTACAGGCATGTACTACCATGCCTGGCTTTAGCTTGGTTTATAAGGTAGAAAGAAAAAAAAAAAGCAGGAATTGCTATTGTAACCATTGAAATACCATTGATTTCTACAACTTATGAGTCCAAATTTATTACCTACAAGGACATTTTTTAATAAAACCACTGGCAAGCTCAGTAGGGATGCATGTCACTGGAGAAAGTCTGGGGGTGGGGGTGTGAAACCAGCAGCAGCCCACACCATAAGCAGCATGTCACAGGGGGGCAGCTTGCCTGGAAGAGTGGGTCAGTCAGTGCAGACACCACGTTTTTCCTGCACTTGAGGATGTTCTGACATCTGGGGCTTTGCTGGTCCTGGGGAGATGGTCCCTCCCAGGGCTGCCCACTTCTTAGAGGTGGGAAGACCCTGCCCACCCCATACAAATCCACCAAGCCCAGTTCTACCCCGCCCAGCAATTCTGTAATCCACAACCACCAAGCTAGTGTCCCCTGCCCTCTGTCACCCAGGGCCAGGTACCTGGCGCAGAGCCCAGCAGAACTGTTTAGATCAGTCAGTCTGTTGCCCACTCAGCCACATACCCTGCCTTGGCTGGGCCTGTCCACAGCAAAATCCCTGGCCTTGCTCTTCCCGCACTCCCACCTCAGCTGCCCGTTTCTGATGGTGTGTGAGGACGGGTGTGCCCCTGGTTATACTTGTGTCTCTGCACCTCGGTCTTACCCTGACTGGACACATTCTGGGTACACTCAGCATGGTCGGCTGTCATCTGGGCTCCCCTGTGATCCCTAAGTGACCTGTGTCCACATGCTGCCTCGAAGCCACCTCATCCTGAGTCCGTCACCACAGAAGGGCCTCACACTGTGGCTCAAGGCTAACACATTTTCAGACCTTCATTCCACTAAAGTGAGATGGGAATCTGTCACATCAGGCCTATGCTTTTGTGACCAAAAAAGGTAAAGTCAGACACTTAGAAGATAGAGGAGCACTGACTCCAACAACTGCTGCAAGACAGTTAAAACAAAATCTAACTTTGATACGCATATAAATTCCGGGACATAGAAAGCACGCTAGGCGACTACTCTACCACCAAGCTACACCCCCAGCCTTTTAAAATTTGTTTTCTTTTTACTTTAGACAGGGTCTCACAAGTTTCACACAGGATCTCACACATCCTCTAGCTCACAATGAATCAATCCCACATGACCACTGAGAGCTGACGCTCCCACTCAGGACAATGCTGAGTCTTCCCAGTTCACCCCACTCTTCTTTCTCTCTAAAGTGGCTATGTTTTTAAGATGGCAAAAAAAAAATCAAGCTAGAATATGCTTGACATGAGAAAAATTCAGACAATATTGAAAGGTTAAAAAAGTACTTATGGTCCTGACATAGGGAAAAAGCTGTTATTTTAGCAGTACTTTCAGACACATTTCTGATCTGGTGTCAGATGTGCTACCGTTGCCCCATGAGGCCGTCACTTTCAGAGCTATTTCTAGATATACATTTAAAAAAACTAAAATGGGATTGATGTTTGGGGAGTGGGGTGAGGGGATTATTTCCACCTTTCCATGTCATTGCTCTCAGCACTGGCTGTCCAGCCCTTCACAGCAGGGACACAACCACAGGTCACTGAGTCACATGGCACGACTGCTCCTGAATTTGTAGCTATTTCTCATACAAGACTGTGGTAACCTCCCACGGAGGACTCTGCAGAGGACAAGGCGCTGTGTGTGGTCCTGGTCTGTGTTCCCATCATGGACTGGGACACAGAATCCCAAGGCCTTATATAAAGAAGATGCCAAAATAAAAATATTGAGCAAAATCTCCTGTAGCCTTGGTGAGAGAAGTGGAGCAATGGCTGAGGTACACAGTTCCTGGAGAAAGTGACTTCTTGAGGTCTTCCTGACATGGCCTGAATTGGGGTAGTGGAGATGTAACCCCCAAATTACTCAATTTCACACTGAAAGCAGCCGACACTGTAGCAAAGATCCCCAAAGAACCAGAGCGACCCAGCAGCCCATGAGCTGACCCTTCTGAGGTGGTCCCACGCGTCAGCAGGGGACACAGCCCACTCTGGGGGTCACCCCTGCATCTCGTCTGCACGCAACCTGGGGATGGAGAGGAAGTAAGTGCTGCAACAATCTTTTCTGTTTTCACACCAAGATGGTAACACAACAGGACAAATTTGCTCTCCTTGCTCCTTCTGTGGGTCTGCAAAACCCCTCTGAATGGGCCAAGGACAGGCAGGAGTCCTCACCAGCCAGGCAGGTGCCACAAAGTCTTCTCAATTCTGATGTGTGTGGAAACATTTTTTTCCTCTGAGGATATGACTTTTTGAGTGGAAAGTTTTAAAAATAAGCAGAAGGTGTCTGCAGAAGGTACCCCCAAGGGGCAGTAGGTATTTTTATTGCTGAGCACTAGTTAGGGGTCAGGATTTCAGAAGCAGCTAGGCAACAAGCCAGGAAGCCCTGTGAACTACCCAGTCCCTGTGAGTATCAAACTTGAGAAAAAAATCTTTCACTAATGCTCTGAAAGTGATGTGGACCCAGAGGGAACACTTAAGCCTGCTTGTCACCCACCATGCCAAAGGCACATTAGCGGACAAGATCGAGGGCCCAGGAGCTGCTTGCCTGGCCATGTCCTTGGGGTGGCAGTGAGCACATCCGGATAAGCAGGGTGAAAAGTGATGTCACATGGAGAGTGGCAGATTCCTTGGAGTGGGGACTGTCATTCTGTGTCATTTATAGAAGTGGTCCCCAACCTTTTTGGCACCAGGGATTGGTTTCATAGAAGACAATTTTTCCACGGAAGGGGTGGGGGCAGGGGGTTGGTTTGGGATGATTCAAGCATATTACATTTATTGTGCATTTTATTTCTATTATTACACTGTACACCTTATTTCCTTTATTATTATATGAGTTCCTCATAAGGAGCACACAACCTAGATCCCTTGCAGTTGACTGTAGGGTTCTTACTCCTACGAGAATCTAATGCTGTCCCTGATGTGACAGGAAACCTTCCGTTTTCCTTTTGCTCTTCTGCAAGAGTTGAACGAAGAGACTTTCAAATTAGGATCTAGCTAAGTAAGCCAGTCTTGGAAGAGGAATTTAAAACAAGTCCAGATTTAAAACAAAACCCTCTTATATCAAGCTCTGGCAGGGAACTTGGCCCTGAAGCCCAAGGGCCTACTTTCTGGAGGCCAAGGGGTAACCTCCACTGTCCTCCCCTGCTGCTGAATGCCAAGTACTTCTCTGAAGCAACACATCACGTTAGGCTCAGTCCAGGTCTGCTCAGACCATGGTGGCAGGAGGTGGTCTTGGGGAAGAGGCCACGAGAGCTGCTATGAGGGGCCAGTCATCACGTCATGGGTGCTCGGTGACCCCTCCAGGCCTCACTGGTCTCATCTACAGCACGCTCATGACAGCCCTCTTGGGGCAAACAGTGGCTATAGAATTTAACAAGCCCAGTTATTCGCCTTCATTTGCACAGATGTCAGATCATACCTGCCATCTAAACACTCCATTCATTAGAAGAGAGATTAGCAAGGAGGTATTGAAGAGAAGTCCAAGTGTAGGTAACACTGGGTCATCAGGGACGCCGGGGGTGGGGTAGGGTGGGTAGCAGGCCATGGACCTTCACAGCCACAAGGCCTAACACCTCAGTGACAGCCGCCTCCCATAGCTTCTACCTACACAGAGGAGGAGGGCAGCTACCAGGTCCTAACCAAACAGTCTCTCCACGCCACACAAGCTACAGCTTGAGGACAAGCCTGGAGGAGACCACCCTGGTCCACCCAAGAGCACCCGTCTACCCAGGGTGGCTGCAGGGCCTCTGTGGGTTTCCACTCCTTCACCACTGGTCACTCTGTTCTCCAGGGCAGAGAGCTGGGGGAGATGTCCCACCTGACACCATCTAGGAAGCTAGTCAACAGCTCCAGACTTCCACATATCGCACGTGAGTCATGGAAATGTACCGTGCTGATGACAGGAAACTGGGCTGTCACCTTCAGGTCAGGAAGAGAACCACGCCCAATGGCAGGTGAGGCAGCAGGGCCACATACCTCGTGTGTCACCTCTAGGGGATGACTGCCTGCGCTCTTCTCCTCCTTCTTGTATTCTTCCAGCTCTTGCCACTTGCTGGTAAGTGTTTGGATTTCCTCTCTAAAATGGGAAGGGAAAAGATGACACCTTGCTTGTCACCGGGCGAGGAATGGCCATTGCAAGGTGGGATACACACCCCCATGCAGACGGATGCTGGATAAGCTCTAGAGGGCCACCTCCCTGGCAGAAGCACCAGTAACCTGCTGTAGGATGGTGTTCTGTAATGTGCCCCCAAAAGCGGGACTAAAAATTGCAGGGCCAGCACCATGCTGGACACATTGTTAGCCTGAAAAATAATCACTGTACATAGCATGTGCAAGGTCTTGGGTTCGATTCCTGACACTAAAAAACCCCAGCCAAACAGAAAAAGCCATTGCACAAGTGATGGTGGTATCACGTGGGGGTTTTCTGCCGCTGGGATGGAACTCAGGCCCTCTGTCTGCTGGGCACATGCCCCCCGGCCCGTCACGCCTCAGCCCTCTATGGGAGTGGAAGGAATTGTAGCACGTGGCCTTACCAAGGATTCCAATGTAAAAATCATTTATTTCTACATAGCTGACATTTCTGATTTACTTTAACGAGAGCCTCTGATAAAATTTAGTCACGGTTCTCCAGAAAATGAAAATAAAATGTTTTCTATTCATTCCAGTCATCTGTATCTTACTAATTATTTTGAGTGCTAAATATTTCTGCTCAGATTTCTTTTCATGTTTTAAAATGTGAGGTGAGCTAAAATTATCTTAAGTTGGGGGTGTGTTTCAGGACTAGACCATTTGCCTAGCATGCACAAGGCCCTGGCTTTGATTCCTAATACCACAAAAAGACAAAAACAAAAACGCTGTTTAAAATGTATAATCATGGGCCTGGGATTTAGCTCAGTGGGTTTCGCCGCCTGCTGCGCAAGCGCAAGGACCCAAGTTCAATCCCCGGTACCAAAAAAAAAAAAAAGAAGTAAAATGTATAATCAGGTGGTCTTTAGTATATTCACAGTGATGCGAATCCCTGAACACTCCTAGCACTTGTCCCCCAGCCAGCCCCTGGATCTGCCTGCTCTGCATGTGTCCCGCACACGGGCTGAGGCTGTGTGTGGCCACCTGACCTCTTTCCCTGAGTACAGGGGTGCCTTCCTTGTCCTTTGTGTGGGTGACCTCAGGCTGGTCATCCATTCCCTAGTGGATGGACACGGGGCACTGCCCTTCCTGGCTCTGGTGACCATTGCTATCACGAAGGAGTAGAGGTGTGAAGTCTGCCAAGGGGAGTGCAAGGCAGAGCAGGAGCATGGGCCACAGGTAGGGCAGGTGGCCACAATACCACAGAGGTAAACACTGGCTTATACAGAAGAGCTTTCTCCAGGGTTTGGCTTTGTACCCCAGAGGCAGAAGAACCCACTGAAAGATCTCAGGGAGAGGCGGGGCCTCCATCATACCCTCTCTTGCAGTTGTGCCAGGGACCCATGGGAAGGGTGGCTGGGAGGGTTTGGGTTGTGTGGCTCCTCTTCTGCTCGGTACTCACTTCAAGGCCTGCTCTCGTTCCTGCTGCTCCTTCTGAGCTTCCCTTGTACTCTCCAGCTTCTTCTCCAGCTCGGCCTTGACCTGCAGCAGCTGCCTCAGTTCCTTACTGAATGCACAGAACCAGACATTTCCGCACCATTAGAACCAGAGACTGTCAGGGCAGGAAGACTCTTCAGAACACAACAGCGCTTGACTTCCTTCCTCAGGACAGTGGACAGGGGGTGAGCAGGTCACATGAGCAGCCCTGAGGTCCTGACAGGGAACGCAGACAACACTGTGCACAAGGACCTGTCAGGGCTGAGGACCATGGGGGTATAAAGCAGCGAACCCCAGACACAATGACAGTCACACAGTAACAGTCACATGCAGGTGCAGCCTATGAGCCCAGGCTGGGGTGCTGCCCATGCTGAGCCTGAGCTAGGAATGCTGCCCAGGCAGTTCCTGCTGAGTCCTCATGTACCATGCATGGCACAGTGGCCACAAATGCAGATCCACTGCCTACTGTGTGTGTGGCCCAGCTTTTCAAAGTCCTGCAAATGTCCACAGGAAATTAGATATTCCCTGAAATGAGTAGCAGAGTGCCTGTCACACAGTGAGGACTTCATATGTTGTAGTTATTAGGTCATGTGATAGCTTAATAAATAATCCCAGGAGTTGTTCATGTTTCAAAGTGACTATCTTGATTTTAAAAACTTCATGAAACAGTAATTTTTACAAAGAACCTATCAGTTCACATGACTGCACTGGAGACTGCCCCTGCAGGTTGGGGACAAGAGTGTGGAAGGACTTGCTCCTGCTGGGGACAGAGGCTACAGAGAATTCCGTGGAATGGGAGGCAGCCAGGAGTCCTCAGACACCAATGTGCATGGACATCAGCTGGGGACATGGGACGCAGCGGGCAGTTCAGAAAGTCTGACAGCACCTGCGGTCCTGTCCCCAATCAGTGCCTGGTGGGCTGCTGCTCCTGCCTTTGCAGACCACTCTGAGAAGCAAGGTCACTGTGGTCCTGCAGAATTGAGGTTAAACACCATCCCAGAGGATGGGTGGGTTAGCTTATGACAGAGCTGGGACCAGAGAAGCCATAAGCAAGCAGGCACCAGGCCGTGTGCTAAGTTGCTAACTAACATGCAATGAGGCTCTGCCTCCAGCTCACGGTCACACAGGCATTTCACACCATTTATGTCTCATTTGACATACAGATCATATGCCATCAATATAGTACTGAATGATAAGACCACTCTGCCTAAGATCAAATTGATTTTAGACAGTCATGGCAGTAGAGCCCCCTTAAGAAACAATTTGGTGGCCCGGGGATTTAGCTCAGTGGTTCCACCGCCTGCCTTGCAAGCACAAGGTCCCGAGTTTGACCCCTGGTAGCAAAAAAAAAAAAAAAGAAACAATCTGGAAATTCCTCTGGAACTCCATGTACAGATTTTCATGATACTCTCCCACATACCACCTTTCTTTCTTTCTTTTTTTTTTTTGGTACCAGGAATCGAACTTGGGTCCTTGTGCTTGCAAGGCAGGCGGTGGAACCACTGAGCTAAATCCCCGGCCCTACTGCCTTTCTTTTAATGATGGAATACGGCCACTTAGTTTATCTTTTTACCACTATGGCAGCTTTTATTCCACAACATAAATCTAACAAGTGTATAAGAAGCAATAAAAAAATAGTGAATGTTTAAATTGTAAAAATATTTGTTATAGTAAAAGACACATTGTCATTAATCCCCCTCCAAGTCTTCTCCCTTGCTTTGAACATACTTATTCCATTGTTCTTGCCACTTTCTGAAGCGGTTCTGGAAGTCTTCTTTCATGAGTGTCTTTAAGAGATGTGATCAAAAATATAGTCAATACTGCGGCCGAGTGCCATCTGATGGAAAGGCAGGGTCATAAAAACATGACAGTGCATGGGCTGGGGATTTAGCTCAGTGGTTCTGCTGCCTGCCTTGCAAGCGGAAGGACCCGAGTTCGATCCCCGGTACCAAAAAAAAACCCCAAAAAAACATGACAGTGCACCTTCATCTCATCTACCTTATTTACCAGATCTGGCACTGGGCAACTTTCCCCAGATCAACATGATCAAAAGGTAAACATCTTGAATCAATTCAAGACATCAAGGCCGCCATAACTAGACACTTATGAAAGAGATCTTACAGAACTGCTTCAGAAAGTGGCAAGAATGATGGGATAAGTGAGTTCAAAGAGAGGGAGAAAGGCCGGGGATTTAGCTCAGTGGTTTCGCCACCTGCTGCACAAGTGCAAGGACCCGAGTTCGATCCCCAATACCAAAAAAATAAAAAAAATAAAGAGAGGGAAAATATTTTGAGAGGGATTCATGGCAATGTGTCTTTAACAGTAATAACTTTTTTTTTTTGGTACCAGGAATTGAACTCGGGGCCTCCCGCTTGTGAGGCAGGCAGCAGAACCACTGAGCTAAATCCCCAGCCCGGTAATACATTTTTTAAAAAATTTAAACACACATTGTATTTTTCAATTACATCTCATAGAGTCCTATAAAGCATTTATGCAGTAATTACTATGCATAGAGCATTTCCTCACATCCGGGACAGCAGTTCCGCCCTGGACACACCAGCATCTAGGTACCTACTCTTTTTCCAGCAGCTGGGCCTGTAGCTCGCTCCGCTCTCCCCTCAGGTTCTTCACTGTCCCCTGAAGGTGCTCCTGCTCCTGCTCCTCCTGCCCATCCCATCCCAGCTGCTTGGGAGCTGCGCCATCAGGATTCAATTTGACCAGCTCTGAAGCGTGCGATTTTGAGCTCGTCATTGAACTTAATTTCTGGAGGCAACACCGGCATTTGTTAGATGTTATTCTTGGTTTTACATTCTATTTGTGAAACCCAGAAGAGAGATCATGGAAAACTAGTCTACTATCTTGAGAGCTTGCCATATAACCCGAGTAAGCTGGCACCATCTACTGCACGGGCACAAGTTCCAGCAGTGTGGAATCGGAAGTGAGAGTGAGACCCAGGCCCAGGAGCAGAGTAGGGTGGAGGAGCCAGCAATGCAGCAGGAGGTGAGCACAGGGCCCGGCGGGTGCATGCACTGCTGACCTGTGTGCTCATTTGCCCTCAGTTCCCTACAGCGTCTGAAACTTCCAACCTTTATTTATGCTTTCTACCTTAAATTGTTCCCATTCTGCCAGCAAAGTGACCGGCTGGAGCAGCTGCCTCAGGATAGTTCGGGATCCGCTCTAGCTTCCTGTAGCATCTAGCAAGCTTTGCTTGTCAAATACTTGCTGAGTACAGAAACTTCTTTTGTTTTTTACTTTGTAAATAAGTGAACTTATTTAAAATACACTTCCTAGGGCTTGCTCTGCTTTGCTAAAAGAGAGGCCGTCTAGCTTGTTACTCCAATAAGAAGGACTGGTTCCAGCAGGACCAGAGGTCCCATTCCAACTGGGGAAGGGAGGAAACTCTTAACTCTTCAAATGGTCGGGTCAGCACAGTGGGAGGACAGCTTCCTGTGAATTCCACATTACATGAGTGGGGAGGAGTCTGGGGAGGAGTCTGGGCAGTGGAATATTCAGAGTCATGCACAGGCACCCACAGTTGCATGCAGAAGTCCAAAGATGTGTGCTGTGTGACTCAGGCCTGGTTATCTGTAAAGTGGAGGTTGTCAACGGCGCACCCCTTGGGTCTTGTCCAGACCTGGAGGGAGCCTACTCTTCTAGGGGTGCACTTTGTGTCATCTGCTGGACAGCTGCTATCTACCTGTTCGGAGTACCCATGTCACTCTGAGTGTGTCCCCTACCAGATCAGACAGCTAGGTCCTGAGTGACAGGTGACACAGACGCCCACTCACCTTTTCTAGCTCCGCAATGCGTCTCAGCAGCCGGGGCTTGCTCCAGTCCACGTAACCTAAGGGAAGCAACAGGTCTGCACAGTGCCCATCTGGAGGATACCCTGCAGCCCAGACCACCCTTCTCAGGACTGGCCTGATGGCGTCCCCTTGCAGACTGTCAGCAAGGCCACAAGGGCATGCTGGGCAGATCCTTGACACCCAAGGGGTTTCTGCAGCAGGTGATTTCTCTATTCTCCTTGGATGTGAACTTACTGATGGTGATATCTTAGGGTGACACCCCTTCCTGATTCCACGGCCATCAGGTTTTGACCCCTCCAGAACATAATTCTATTGCTGTCAATGTCAGAGATGACTTTCACTTTGCCAAACCCACAGCCTGTTTATCAGTCCTATTTATTAATTTCAGGCCTCTGCTTGGCTCTCACGATCCTTTCCTGGCCACTGCCCACTCCGCTTTGTGGGCTCACATTTACCCCTCAACCCTCTGGATGCCCCTGGGCTTGGACTCCCCGCTCCTCTCTCTAGTCACACATCCCAGCACCTCACTGGATTCTAGCATGTCCAGCCATGCAGCCCGGGTCTCTGCCTGCTCACCCCTCCACTGGCCCAGGCTGCCCTGCTCTTCCTCCCCACCCTCACCCTCATCAGAACAGTGCTCCCTTTCTGCCCAGGCCGTCCCCAAGGAACCAGAGCCCTGCTCAGCCACCCCCTAGCCAGTGCCACCCCGGCCTCTGCTCTGGGCTTCTACACTCGCTGCCACTCTAATGCCCCCAGCTGCCCACAGGCTGCCCTTGGCCTATTGTGGGTCATGTCCAGCTGTCACTGATTCAGGGAGGCCTCCCCCAGCCCTGTCTGTGGCAGAACCCCACTGCTACCTGCCCTCCCCCACCTCTCCCTGGGGGGCTTACTAATCCTCTCCTCTCACCCTACAGCAGTGCACCCCAGGCATGCCCGCACTTTCACTCCTTGCTAAAGCTCAGGGCCTAGAACTGATCTGTGGGCAGCAATGGTTGCTGCACTTCAGAGCTAATGGACTATTTCCTAATGGGACACATTGGCTGTGAGGCACGAGAACTCAGGGCTTTGCAGCTGCAGGGAGGAAGGACAGCTGACACACCTACTGCACTGGCTGGCAGGGCCTGCCCAGGACTCCCCTGGGGCACCACCCTGCACCTTCCCTGCCTGAGTTTTTCTGAGGCAGATACCCTTCACTCTGGTGATGGTCAGGGAGTTGCTGAGCACACGGTCCAGGTCCTCCTTCAAGCTCTGGTTCTCTTCGGTCAGCTCCTGAACGCTCCGGGACAGGTTCAGGAGGGCGCTGCTCATCTTCTTCTGCCTCCTCACACCCACCTTCTTCTCCACCAGAGGAGGCCTGGGAACAACCAAGAGGGCTGAGCTAGAGATTTCTATACCGGCTCACTGAATGTCTCAACCGAGGTGCAGGCGAATCTGGCTGAGTGCAGGGCGATTTTTGCAGATGTATAGTAGGGAAACACTAACTCTGAACCCGAAGTCAGCAAAAGTTAATCTATAATAGGATTCTATTCTTATCATTAGAAACCTGTATAATAAAATGTAGTACTAAAAAAAAAATGTAGCACTCAGCTATTAGTATCATATTTTAGATGCTACCATTAAAATTTTATGCAAACTTATTACTATTTCATTATGCAAATATTGGTGTAAAAGCTTTGACTTTGCCTTTTTTTTGTTTTTGGTACCGGGGATCGAACTCGGGTCCTTGCGCTTGCACAGCAGGCAACGAAACCACTGAGTTAAATCCCCGGCCCTTAAAATTCTTGACTTTGCCTCTTATCCCATAAAGTCTAAAATACAGGAGTCTTCATTATCTGGAGAACCGAATGTATTTGGCAATTTGCCCACTCTTTAAGATTTATCTGTAAACCCAAATCAATACTCGTGGGTGTCAAGGGAAACCGCACATGTGCAAATGCGTTCAGGGTGGAAATCTGAGACTCCACGTGCATACTGCCCGCTTAGGCCACACATGGCCATGCTGTCTTCTGGCTTGAGCGCTCAGACTCTAAACACGTGTCCTTTCCGTAGTCTACTTAGTGCAAAAAGACCCTATTTCCCATGTGTTGGTGACGTCACAGTTTAAGGGGGCCAGTGTGGAGCTGAAGCACTGTGTGGTGTCCCCATGCTGTGATGTGCCCCGTGGAGAATGCACGTGTCAGGTGAGATCGACTCAGGCATGCGATACAGAGCTGCTGGCCATGAGTTCAATGTTAATGAATCAACCATCTACCTTCAGTGTCTTTAAACAGAAACACACATAGAGCTGGATGTTGTCTGATTAGTGAAAACAGGGTCAGAGGCTTGGGGGGCCTAGGTCCACACTCCCTGGGAATAGTGGACCCATTGCCCACAGATGACCCAGCTCTGCAGTCCAGGTCTCTGCCTACCTACTCCTCCACATAACCCAGGTTGCCCCAACCCTCCTCCCTACCCTCAGGAAATGCCAATTCTATCCACTGAGTTGCTCAGACAGAAGACCCTAGGACCTGGCACCTCTGCTCTTGCAGCCTTCATTTAAATTCTTCATTCAAGGAAACACGAGGCCTAACCATATTTACTATCTGGCCCTTTCAACCTGTTTTAAGCCATGAGGGGTAAAGGGAAAAAGGAAGACCGTGCCAGGCAGCGTGGACTGCAAGTGCCAGCAGCCTGCTCCAAAGACCAGAGGCATGGCCATGGCTATGATAGGGGCCATCCTCCCTTAATTTAATGAAAGCCTGTTTCATTACACTGTTCGGAAAAGGATGAGGAAATCCATGTGATAGGGAGAACCTTGATGCCCCTAATAAACTTGTTTGGGAAAAGTTTAAGTAGCAAAGTGGATTTGTAATACACATTTTCCTGGTAAGGCAGATTTGGGCTGAAAGCCAGCATTTCCAGTCCTGAGCTGGAAAGTGCTGTGCAGCAAGGGTAACAACGCACACAGCAGTGAGTGAGGGCTCAGGGTGAACATGAGTGCAGACAAGACTCCACCCATGGGCACACAGGTGTGCGGCTGGCTCTGCTGCCATGTGAGGACAGGGGATGCCCTTCCCGAGTGGAATGAAGGTACCCCAATTTCAGAGTCGCTCAGTAACACAAGGACAACACGATACCAAACAGGAGCATACTTCTTTCCTGTGGCTTCAGAACTTGCCAAGAGCATCTGGAGACGATGGATCTACAAGTACCAAATTAGAAAGCGTTAAACAAACAAACAAAAAAGAAAGTGTTAAACATACAAATGAATGCAGCGGTGGTCTTGTCCTGCGAGCTGCGGGCAGAGTTCCGATCCCTGTCCCACAGCAGGACTCAGAATCGACCTGCACCAGGAGCACGGGTATGAGCTCACCACCCTCAGTTCATCCCCAGACAGCAGCAGGCTTGACTCTTGTGCCCTGGCCACCTGCCCCTCCACACGCACCTCCTCGTAGTAGATCTCCATGGCGATCCTCATCTCCTCCAGGTTGGTGGTCTTCATGTCCGTCTGCAGTTTGCTGGGGATGCAGATTCAGAGTGAGCAGGGCAATGCCAGTGTGCCCCGGGGAGAGCTGTGGAAAGCGGGATTCCCAGAACAGCCAAGCAGGGATGGCTTTGGAAGACAACCAGGTGGGAAAGGGCTGGTCTGAGTCAGCCCTCTGTTGGCTTTGGTCTTGAATGAAATGGCTTGTTTCCAGACCGATGGGGGGATTCCTCACACCAGAAAGTGTCCCTCCTGGGTGAGAACAGCTGCTTCCCAAGCCTCCATAAAGATATTAATCTCCAAAGAAGACCCAACTTTAAAAAACTTGGATTAACAACGGGGTGGGGATTTAGCTCAGTGGTTCCCCCGCCTGCCTCTCAAAGGCAAGGTCCAGAGTTTGATCCCGGTACCAAAAAACCAAAACAAAACAAAAAAACCCAACAAACTTGGATTAATGGTACAGCCTGACCTCAGGGCTTGGGGAGAACACATCATCTTTGGAGAGTAGGTGGGGAGAATAACTAGTTCATGAAGAGAATCACTGTCTCTCCTCAAACTGTCACCTTGTCACCTTGTTCTCTGCATATCACAGGCTTCAGGCAAAAGGCACTGAGAAGGAAGAACAGCTCACCACTCTGACACACTAGATGAATTAGCAAATAACCACAAATATTTAAAGTTGCCAAATTTCACCAAGAAACAAATGGGTGGGGAAACTGGTGTAGGAGATATGAAGTATAGACAGGTTTTCCTTAAATAAACTTAAGTTAGGCCAAAAAAGACTATCCCTTTGCAATAACAAGACAGGTACAGAGACAGGTAAAATATGCCATATGAGAGACAGCCAAGGGCAATGTCTGGGCAGCAAGGGCTTGCATCAAGACCTAGAAAATTCACATTGGAAATACAAAGTGGCCCACAGAATACTAAGGGGAAAAGGATTCCTTAAATACAACAAGAAAAAGCTGAAGGGAAATACTATTCCCTAATGACATTTAGAGGAAGTGCAAATTAAAAAGAAAGGAGAGAGACAGAGACACAGACAGACAGACACACAGACACACACACACACACACACACACACAGAGGCAGACAGGTAGTAATACTTCCCTTCACTATGGGTGGGAACGGGGACACTATGGACAGAGGTTGGCATAGGAGAAGCAGACGCAGGACAAGCACCAGCCAGAAAGGGAAATGTTAATTTGGAGGAGCAGCTGGTTCCAGTTGGCCCGGGCCCGAAACCCTCCCTCTGAGGCCCCGGCAGCGGCTCCGTACTTGATGGCACTGTCCTTCTCCTTGCACTGCTGCTCTAGCCGGAAGATCCTCTGTCTCAGCCCATTGATGACCTACCACAGAAGGCCACCACCTCAGCCACCTCTGTCCAGGACCCACAGCCCTCTGCGCTTCCTCCCTGTGGGCCCCTCCTCCACAGATCCCATCCTTCCCTCCTTAGCCATCTGCTGCCTTCTCTTCCAGGCTACAGTCCAGGGATGATTGAGGGGCTGGGACTTACTCACTAATGGCATGAGGCTGAGTGAGGGGGAAGGGAGTCAGGATACCCAACTGGGGCAGGAGGGCAGTGACCAACAGTACTCCAAGGCACGAGGCATTCGGAAGAACAGGAAGGACCTGCTGTCACTTGTTTTAAATAAAGGAAGCCACGACAACCTTAAAAATAAAAACCACTGACCAGGGTTGCCCAGGACAACTTGGTCAGTCTTCAGCTGGGGTTTCAGGGCTGACAGAGCAGAGGCCTGGAGGGGCTGCCCGAGCCCACCTCTCTGGGAAGGAAGGACCGCTCCCGGGCTCATTCCTTCCTTTATCCTTTTGGGAGATCACACACACCCTAATGTTCCTTAAAGAATATCCTTCTCTTTTGAATATATAATTTTTTTGGTAGTACTGAGCTACATCCCAGCCCTTTCTTACTTTTCATTTTGAAGGTCTCAGTTGCTAAATTGCTTAGGCTGGATGCAAACTCGTGACCTTCCTGCCCCCCAGAGTGCATGTGCCACCACGTCCATCTAGATTTTAATTTAGTAAGATGTGAATACATTTTCTCCTCAAATTTCCCCCTAACATTGGCAGAGAGAAACATCCTGTGCAAACAGCTTTTCTCACTGGATTATGCTCCTGACAGTCCTAACAGAAAGCTGTGCTGGACAGCGGCAGGACGACTATAGGTCACTAAGCAGATGTGATGCTCAGCCCGGCCAACACTGGCTTTGATCATGTGTCACTCTATGGTATGAGGCTTTATTCAGAGTAATTTAAAATAATTTCTTTTCTCAAGGATGTGGTGCTAGAGGGATGACAGGGCTGAGCGATACCATTCCTGCCTCCTAGGGCTGAGAGCCAGCAGCTGGGGACCCAGTTCGGGAAAACTGTTTGCCTCAGTGTCCTGATTTTAAAAAATGGAAACTGGAGTCCCTCTGTTATAAGAAATCAAATGAGGCCGGGCGTGGTGGCGCATACCTATAATCCCAGCACTCAGGAGGCTGAGACAGGAGGACTGTCATGAGTTCGAGTCCAGCCAGGGCTACATAGTGAGTTCAAGGCCAGCCTAAACTGCATTGTGAGACTCTGTCTCAAAAAGAAAAGAAATCAAATGAGATCATGTACATGTGCAGAATAAATATGTAATAATTTGCAATTATCTAAAAAATGTATTTTCTTGGGCTGGGGATTTAGGTCAGTGGTGCCGCCGCCTGCCTCTCGAGTGCAAGGTCCCAAGTTCAATCCCCAGTACAAAAAAAAAAAAAAATTTTCTTGTGAAACACATTAATTCACTCACAAGCATTTGTGAATTAAGTATTGATCTGTGTTATCCTAGGTGCAGAACTGGGCTTTAATCATTTATGTTAAGTAGACGGTATTTCTATGTGACATACATATTACATTTCAGGGCATACTTTGTTTCTTAGAGATTTACATAGAGCTTTTTGCATATTCTGGATAGAAAACAATGTACTGGTCAATATCCTTCTACTCACAATACACTGACTGTTTCCACATTAGTTTTTTGGGTTTTTACACAAATTTTAACTTTACATTACCAAATCCATTAATCACATCATTGTTTCTTTGTATTCAATGACCTCAAAATTGTATCCCTTCCAATTTTAGCTTCCTGATACATTTTCTCCAAATGCTAGTTTACTGTGGTAACATTAACCAAACAAAGGCTCCACCTCCCCTCATTCTGTTTCATTCAGTTTGCTTTGGATTATTATTATGTAACACATGAGAGGTGTTTGTATCCATCTTAAGGACTCTGTTCTACTGCAGCTTGGTTTCTGTGCTTTGGCTCAGAAACCCTTGTATGTAAGCACAGGTATGTTTTGGGACATGGAGGAGAAGATACCCATTGTGAGTGCTTGCTCTAGTTTGCTTTCTGGCCTGCTGGGAAGGTGGCATCTCTCCAGTATGTGGCTGTCTCTGAGTGCAATCTAAGGAGTGATCTCTGGGGCCAGAGACTACTCACCCAGCCGGTGTCGGGGCTTTTCTCTGCTAGTGTGCGAACAAAATCCAGGCCCTGTGGGAGCAGATCAAGACATGAGGGGCATGTGGTTCAGCCTGCTCCCTGCCACCATGGAGCCCATGGGCCAGAGCCCACTTGCGCTAGCAGCTTACTCGGCCTGGATCCAAGAGCTGTTCTATCTGCCGGTCCTTTCTGTTATTTTCCTCTTCCATGCGCCGGAGTTTTGTTCTCATTAGATCCACGTCTCTTTTCTGAGTGTGTAATAACTGGAGAAGAAAAGAACCACTCACCCATATCCATGCATGTAACCACAACATACGAGATATGATTGAAAAATATGGTCAATGTTTAAATTTAAGAAATTATCATAGTGAAAGACACACTGCCATTAATCCCCCTCAAAATCCTCCCCTTTAACTACATGTATCCCATCATTCTTGCCACTTTCTGAAGCAGCTCTGGAAGTGCTCTTTTGTGTCTTAATATTACCATTCTTGATTCTTTTGATCACCTTTTGTACAAAGAGACACATTGAAAGACACTTCAACTAAGCCAATATAGACTTCTAAAAAATGCGTGAGGTAGAAAAATAAAGCAGACTTGTGATACAGAAAGAACAGAAAATGGGAGACATATCCTAACATATCAATAATTATGTTATCTATAAATGATTTAAACCAATTAAAAAATGGCAAAGTAGATATGTGCTATCTATAAGAAACTTAGAAGGTACGTTGAAAGGAACCAAACAGGAAAGGATATACCATGTAAACATTAATTTTAAAAAAGTGGGAATGGCTATGTTACCATCAGATGAAGTAGACTTTGGAGAATAGAAAGGTACCAGAGAAGGGACATTATATAATGCTTTCAAAAAGTTCATCCACAGCAAGGCATGGTGGGCTACACCCATAATCCTAGCACACTGGAAGGCTGAGACAGGAGGATTACAAGTTTGAGCTCAGCCTGGGGAACTTAGCCATTTAGCAAGGTCCCTTCTCAAAATAAAAATTGCGGGAGATGTAGCTCAGTGTGAAGGCCTTGAGCACAATCCCCATTACCACTTAAAAAAAAAAAGTCCATCTGCCCAGTAGACAGAGCCCCTCTAAGCCTCTTGGAACCCAGCAGCCTGTGGGGCAGAGCCTGATACTCTCTGAGGGAAATGGACAAACCCATGGTGGCAGTGGAGCCTCAATACCCTCTCTCCACAGGTGACAAAACATGGGGTAGCATTAGCAAGGCCAGAAGAATACTCCCAGCACTGTCCACAGCTGGGGCCACCAACAGGGATCCAGCACTTGGCAACAGCTGGGCCACACTGGAACCAGGAGGGAGCCTTGGTATGGGCAGAAGAATGAAACAACATGTTCTGTGGCCACGACAGACTCAAACTGAAAACTGCAACAGAAAATCCACAGGAACCCTTCAAATACTGGAAACTAAACCATGTAACTCCAAACAATCCAAGCACATCTCGGGGAGTTGTAAGAGAAATTCTTAAAAAATAAACTGACCTGAGTGAAAATGACAATATAATATATAAAAATGTCAAAGCCTAGGGGCTGAGGATTTAGCCCTGTGGTTCCACCGCCTGCCTCGCAAACACAAGGACCCGAGTTTGATCTCCGGTACCAAAAAAAAAAAAAGAAAATCATGTCAGAGTCTATCATGCCTATCACGATGGAAGGGCGCAGCTAGGGTCGCAGCTAGGGTCGCACCAAGTGGGAAGGGACACTGGCCCACCAGCACCTCCAGGGTTCTCCAGGGCTGCACTGAGGGGACAGCAGTCTGGAAAGGCTGAACACTTTGTGATCCCAGCTGTACTTTAGAGGCCAGTCACAGAGACAAGACACGGAGCACGGTGCCCAGGGCAGGGACAGTGAGAAGGGGAGGGGTGCAAGGGACCCCTGTAGGGTGCTGGGCAGCTGGGTTCCCACTGAATGGTGACGTGGGAGTCACACCTGTGCTGTGACACAGATCCACATCCACACACTGTACCAAGGACAGTTTTCTGATGACATTGTGTAGGCTAGGAGATGGGGTGAAGGGTACCCAGGACCCCTCTATACTACCTTCACTATGTTCTTGAATCTAATTACAGACATTCTTCATTTAACAACCAAATCATGATCCTGCGACTAATCATTAATTGGATTGCTCGCTACATGAGGAATTGTAGATAGCATGTACATTACAATATTCAGAACAAAGAAACCGTCACAGGAAACTCCAACCTATGACTTTGCTTTTATTTGCTTAACTGTTACACGCAGTATTCTAATATATAGTGTAACAGAATATAAAACTGTGCAGTACAATCAGCAAAAATTATGGTACTATACTGTAGAAGAAGCCACCATAAGGCCGCACTGCTGCTCATGTTCCTGCACTGTTAAGTTCAAATGCAGGTTATAAGTCCGAAAGTTGTCAAATAGGTAAGTCGTTAAATGAGGACTGTTTTTCAAGTAAGTTTTAAAAAACTGGCCAGTATTGTCAATGATTGTGGCTCATGTCTGAAATTGTAGCACTTGGGAGGCTGAGGCAAGAAAATCACCACAAATTTGAGACCAGCCTGGGCTACATAATGAGACTCTGTCTCAAAAAAAAAAAAAAGAGAAAAGGGTGAGCTAATCATTGTATATCAGATACTATGCAGAAACACTTTCATGGATTTGTTTTATTGCTTCCTCACAATAGGCCTATCAAATTGGCATGATTTTTCGGGGTTTTTTTGCTAGGAATTGACCCCAGGGGCTCACACATGTTAGGCAAGCGCTCTTATTACTGAGTGCACCCGCAACCTCATCCCTAATTTTAAACAGGAAACTGAGGCCCTGCTTGCATATAAAACAATGCCAATGTTCAAGATCCCCAAGAATGGAGTACTGAAAACCCAGCCTCTTCTGTCTGAATTTGGAATCCAGGCTGATTTTGCCCAGAGACCCATAGTAGCAAGTACAAAGGGTCAGTACCATTTTCCCTGAGATCTATTTCTGGAGGATTCCTCCCAGGAGTAGTATTCCAGTGATGAGTCAGTTTTGGGGGCTCTCAGGGTCTATTTAGTACAATCTTTGACCAAAAGGGAATGGTTTCTACAATGCCCCAACAAACAGCCTGCCCTCGGCTGGAAACACCGAGGACAGGGCATGTGTGTCCTCCCTGGCAGTCCTCTTGCGGGTGGACGGCTCTCATGGGCAGAACAGTCTTCTCACAACAGCCTGCCTGGGCTGTGCTGCTCAGCTCAGGTGCCTCCCGTTTCCTTGCCAAGCCCAAGCCCACTGGCTGTCAATGCCCTGCTTAGTTTATGTTGCCTGCATGAACAGTCCTGCAGACCCAGATCAACTGGGTGAATGGCAGGTCTAAAGCAGACTAACACTAGAGGGACAGGAACCCAGATAATTTCTCCTGGGGGACAAATACATATATGTACATGAGGAACCACTGTGAAACTGGCTTGGTGGTGCACATCTATAATCCCAGCAGCACTCTGGAGGCTGAGGCTGGAGAATTATAAGTTCGAGCCCAGACTAGGCAACTTAGTGAGACCTTGTCTCAAAATTTAAAGAAAAGGAGGCTGGGGATTTAGCTCAGTGGTTCCACCGCCTGCCTTGCAAGCACAAGGTCCTGAGTTCAATCCCCAGTACAAAGAAAAATTGTGGTAAATAATGTTTGGGCCAGGGATTTAGCTCAGTGACACTGCGCCTGCCTTGTAAGCACAAAGTCCTGAGTTTGATCCCCCATATCAAAAAAAAAAAAATTCAAAGAAATGGCCTGGGGATACTTTCAAGTTCAGTGTGCAGGCTCTGGGTTCAATTCCCAGTAAAAAAAAAAAAAAAAAAAAGAAAAGAGAACAAATGAGTGTGATAACAGTGGTGGTGCTGGTGATGTTTCTCAATGCCATTCACACCTGTGTCTCTGGGAGAGAGCACTGGCCTTCAGAGGCAGTGACCGAATCCTGGTTCTGCTATTGGTTAAACCTTGGACAACTAACCTCTCTTTTAAATCTCAAGTACAGATGACAGCTGTACCAATTGGCCTTGCATCTCACAGAGCTTCTGTAGAGCTGGACAGAGACAGGCCTGTGGAATGTTGCGACAGCACTAATATAGTCTCATGAATGGAAGGCTATGACCCTGTACCAAAGCCCTTATCATGACACCAAATGCCAGGGTGTGGGGACTCTGAAGTGACTTGATCCTTACCCAGCCTTCTCCATCCTACTAGAGGAGAGCACAGAATCTAAACTTTGGAGATTGCATATAGTCAGTGCTACCTAAAACTCTGTTGCCTTTTGTGGAGCTGGTGCAACAGGCTTTTATGCAGCTAGGGTGGCCGGCTCCTAAGGCATGGTGCCAGGGTGCAGACGCTGCTGTGACAATGCCCAAGACATTCCATACAGATGTGTCCCAGAACTGATACCCATGTATGGTCCACTGTTACAGACAGGTACTGCCACCCTCATACCGATCTGCAACCCACTGCTGTGGAAGGAACTACTCCTAAGTCAACCACAAGCAGGTAGAACATTACCTTCTTCAACTCAATAATCTCATCGTACATGTCTTCTTTCTCTCTGTAGACAGAGGTCCCAGGGACATGACCTAGAGGACAATATACAAACCTCTTAGGAGACCACTGAAAAGAAAAAGTGCTCTTGGCTATGCCTTAAATAAAACCTGGAAGTTAATAAAATTATCCTTTTTTAAAAAGAGAATAAAAGAGGAAAAATTTCTTTCAAAATTTTTACCCTGATCATGATACTTGCACCAAAAAGCAGGGAAACAGACAAAAAAAAAAAAAAAAAGGTAATATATAGAAAGATGAAGCAAAGAAAAATAAAGATGTAAGCACAGAATTTAACTATGGTAAAGGGACTAAAGAAGGAATCTCAAGAAACGTGATATGCTTAGATTTCACACAGCAAATAAAACAAAAGCCAAAGACAACAAATCCACATGGCATCAACAGCCATTCCAACAAAGGACAGTTTTACTGTGGTTTTAATGTAACACCTAGTAATGTTAGGAATCCAAACTATATAAGCCTAAACTACAACTCCTAACCAGTAAAATCAGCTCAGGAGGAACAGTGTGAGATGACTGCCCCAGAAACTACCCTTCTTTGGAGAGGTCCACGAGAGAGGCCAGTAGAACATATGGACAGAAACGTAAAACATACCAGTTCCTTTGGTGGGACTAAGGGTTTGTATTATTTCTGCAATTTGTATTTGTTTCTAATATTGTTTATACAATAAATTTGCATATGATAAGGTTCAGGAAGCCTGGCACAGTGGAAGCCTGGCTGTAAGGGTCACTTCCCAGGTGGGCAGAATGACCTTCACAAGACTCTGTCAAGACATTCCAAAATGTCCCAGGGACAGAGCTTACACACAAAGCCAGCAACCTCACTCTGGCAAAGGACAGTTCCATCCAGAGTTCTTCCATCTGGTCACATCAGCACGCTCATCCTGGCTGGTGGGACGGCTGAGGCTGAACCTCTCCATCCTCACAGCCTGTCAGAAGGTTGGGGTGCTGCTGGGGGTGGCCCCTGCCTGCTCTAGGGTAGGGTGGAGATTGAGGGGCTGGGCAGGCTTCCCAGCTTGAATGTACATGGATTGAATATGGTGGCACCACAAACACACTGGGAGGCGCTGCCCCTCCTCAGCCTTCCTGAGACACCAGCAGTCAGCCACCAGTGTGCTAGTGAATACCTCCCCCCTGCCTCTCAAAAATACATCAGTGAAGCCCTGATTTGTAACATCTGCCCATTTCTGCAGTCTAACAGTTCCCACCATTCCCCACATCAGGTGCTAGTGTGACACTGAGGAGTTTTAGGACACGGCACTCCTAAAAACTTAACAGATGGCTCCTGCAGGCGCTGCTCCAACACACCGTCTACTGTAGCGCCAAGACAGCCTGAACCGAGGGCAGTTCCAGTGTCACGGAGCGGAACCAGGGCGAACACACCTACCTGGGGCTCGAAGACTGACACATGCAGTCAGAGACTTTAAGAAGATTAAAGACAACATCGCTCAAACAGGCAATGTTGGAACCTCTGTCACCTCCAGCCCAGCCTGGCATTCCCGCCACTCTGCTCTGGAGGGGAGGGAGCCCGCAGGGCAGCCACACACCTTGCTTTGAAGTTTCCAGCCACAGCTTCTGTGGGGTTAAGGACATCCTGCTGCTCAGCGGCATGCTCCCTGAGGTCCTCACAGATCGATTCCACGATGCCACTTTCCTTGGCTTAGAGTAATAAGGTGACTCTAAAAATCCAACACAGGGTTTCTGAGTTGCAAAACGACAACGTCCCCTCAACAGACTGCTTTAGAGACAAAAATGGTAAACTATTCAAAGGCTATGAGGACGCTGGGTAAAAACATTCTGGCAAAATTTCTTAAGTACAGATATTTTATTCAGTTAACTTGAAAAAATGTTTTGGATTGGGTCTTGCTGTATTCGTTAGGCTGGCCATGAGCTCCTGGGCTCGAAGGATCTTCCTGCCTCAGCATGGCGAGCAGACAGGACCACTGGTGCAAGCCACTGAGCTCAGCTTTACGATTCTTTTACACACACACATCAACTAAGTATGTGAACACGCACACATTTACATTTCTCTTTTAATTTTTACCCTAAAGAAATGGAAATTAAAAAAGTATAATAATTCTACAAATATAATATTTGATGTCCCCTCCTGTTTTTTCAGATATGTATCTATCTTTACAGTCACACTCACAGCAAAGGTATAATTTTGCATCCTTTAATGTCAATATTTTTCATGGTGCTACACAGTAACATAGCAATAATGTTCAAAAAAATTTTTTTGTTTTTTGTGTTGTTGACATAGGGTCTCACTTTGCAGTGTAGGCTAGCCTCGAATTCACAGGGATGCTCCTGCCTCAGCCTCTTGGGTGGAGAGATTACAGGCATGTGCCACTTTGCCCAACTAATGTTCAAAATTTAATATGTAAAATATCTAGAAAAAATGATAAAAATTATATTTTCCAGAGCATTCTTGACTTTGTCATTAAAATGAAGGAAAGTTTTAAAATTCTTTTTATCTGGGATTTCATCTCCTCAATTATATAAGCTATGACAAATTAATGCAGAAAATGAAGGTGCCCATGAAATATTCTTACTTATTTTAGACAGCAATGAAATGTATATCTCTAGAAGGTCCAGAAAATTTATCTAATGTTCACATTTTTTAAATTGCTAAGTTTTTCCCCTGGTGTCACAAATTATGGGAAGTGTCCCATTTCACTCAGAAGGAGGGAATGATGCCACATGGGCCCTGGCTGCACTTGCACTCACCCCAGGACTCCAGGCAACCCGCAGGCCTTGCAAACTCTCAGTGTTTAAACGTAAATCAGGGGCCGGGGATCTAGCTCAGTGGTTCCGCTGCCTGCCTTGCAAGTGCAAGGTCCCAAGTTTGATCCCCAGTACCCCCCGAAAAAGTAAATCAGTGATCAGAAAAAGAGACCATGAGCTAGACATGGTGGCACACACCTGTCACCCCAGCACTCTGGGAGGCTGAGGCAGGAGGATCACAAGTTGGAGCAAAGACCCTGCCTCAAAATAAATTAAGGGCTGGGGATGTAGCTCATGCAAAGGCCCTGGGTCCAATCCCCAGTACAGAAGAAAAGGAAAAGAGCCCATAAATCACACTTCTCTTGTAATGTGTATAGAATTATTGATGAGCTGCAGGGATTCCTCAGGAAAATGTATGCATGCAGAGAAAAGCCAGGGCAAGGAATGAAAATGAAAACAGGACAGTGGAAACACTATGGTGTTTGATGCTGCTTGACGAATCCAATGGAAAAAGCAGGATGCCCAGGGTGGCTGGGAGGACAAAGAGCTTCAGAACTCCGGAAACTGCAAACCTCTGCATGAACTGATCAGGTATCTGAGACAGCTGTTGAGTACACGGGACAGATGTGGGCCCTGATGCCACCACACTTGACATCCAGACCGGAAAAACAGTTCCTGAACAAGTCTCAAGAGGTTGTGACTCATCTGGGAGGCAGGGGCAGCGTGCTGGGATGTGGCCATTGGTGTGAAGGGCTGAGAAGTCTCTCGACAAGGAGCCCTGGGGTGAGGGGAGGGGCGTGGGTCCTGTGAGCAGAGCAGGCTCCTGCGCTGTGGGGAGAGAGCTGGGGAGGACACACTGCAGGTCAAGTGCAGCCCTGACACTGACACTGCCCAGGCTCAGGCTCTGGCTGGTCTAAATCCCAGGAAAAACAATTTTGATGTTTACAAAACTCAAGAGGAAAACAATTTGACTGACTATCCAACACTTGGAATGCTTGGCATTCAATAAGAACTCAACTTTCCTTTTCCTTTTATTCTTTTGTGTACTGGGCATTGAACCCAGGGCCTGCTGCATACTGGGCAAGTGTGCTACTCTGAGCTACAGTAGCCCTTGGTTTCTTTCAAAGGTGTGCATTATTCACAATACGTACCATGAAATCTTCACAGGAATGTACATGCTGTGCTCTGGGGCCAGTACAAAAGCTCATTTGTATTCTCTCGATGTATCATGTACACAATAAGTATGTCTGAAGTACATGACACATATATGTAAAATACATACACACACACACAGAGGGCAAGGTCAGGGAAGGCCAGGCCCTTGGGAGCAAAAGGGAGCCCGTCTAGGATTTCACGCTGCCATAAACACATTCATGCAGGTGAGACTGGCTGTGCTCAGAGAAGGTGACAGCAGAGACAGATCAAGAGGCCTTGCTGGCATCTGGACCAACCCCATCTTGGCAGCCTCATCTCATGGGCGCTGCCTCCTGGCCATCCGAGTGCAGGACTAAGCTTCCCTCATCCTGCTGAGGATGCAGAAAAGAATCATGGCAGCAGAATGAACCTGAGAGATCCCAAAAGGAACACAAAGTCCCTGCCTTGGAACGCCCAGCCCTCTCAGCACAGGGCTCCAAATAGGCCAGGAAGCACTGTATCTCAGGAGAGGCCGAGCAGGGCAGTGTCCCCTGAATAGGGCCTCTCCACAGGAAAGCCCAAGAATGCCCTCGGACAGGGCAAACAGAAGTGGTCCTGCTATCACCATGCCTCACCAACCGCACCTGCACTGGAGGAAAAGGCTTTCACTGGCTCCAGGACGGCAGAAAAGGGCAGCTCTTGGAAACTCTCCACGGTGAGAGCGTGGACATCAGAGGATGGGAGACTTGGTTGTACTTACTCGGTGATGTGGGAAGAGGTCTGTGCAAACCTTTCCGCTTTGTCTTCTGAAAGGAAGAAGAAGGGGTGTGAAGCAGGCTGAGGTTCCTTCCCCACGAGTCCCACTGTGTCCCCAGTATGCAGCCTGGCTGTGTTCAGAGAGGGGATGAGGGACAGCTGAGCTCGCTGAGACCTGCGCCCGGTCTGCAGGGCAGACCCAGGGCACCACAGTGCTCTCACGGATACGGGCAGTTCCAACTAAGCACAGGACACCAGGGCCCAGGCCCTGGGTCTCGGAAGGAGGATCCCACATGAATGTGGGTCTTCTCTCAGTGCTTCTCTGGAGTGTTGGGGCACAGTTCTGTCTTGGCCAACCATGTAAGTACGGCACCTGCAAAACCCCTGAAGGAAGAGTCCAGCAAGGAATGAGCCTGCGTGAAGGACTCTTTTGTGACAAGCCTGATGCCATAGGTAGAACTGGGTGAAAATCTGCTTCTGCCACTAACTAGTCCTGAGGCATGGGGAAATGACTAACCTATTTTCCCTGTCTGCCTCACACTAGGCAGGGAGGTGGTGGGGTCATGGCCGTTTTCCCTTCTTTCCATCTGGTGGGGACAATGAACCCTCTGTCCCAAGTGGGCCAGCTTCTGCCTGGGATTGGTTTGGGCTACTGCTTCTCAAGGCAGCATTTGTGCCTGCGTCCTCAGTGAGGTCACTTAGCAGAGAGAGGTCCCTCTCTGGAGACAGGAGAACAGGGGCTATCCAAGGTGGATCCAAGTTGTGCCAGTGCTGGGTCCGCAGTGAGACTCCATTGTTTTTGCTTGTTCACTGAAAGAGCAATTGGCTGGCTTCCTCTGCCACCCAGCACAGCTTGCAGCCAACCCAGAGGGCTGCCCTGGAGACTCCTCACTCCCCACCAGACCTCCTGGCCAGCTCCCAACACTCCCAGACCTGCTGCCAGGCCAGGCTGTGCTTGGCCCTGTCCGCCTCCCTGACTTTCCCTTCTCTCCCATGTCAGGGCTGGGGACAGGTGCGGGCCAGCACCGGACATGGGATAGGAATTAGTCATCTGCCTCCATGAACTTTGCTCAGGATTGCTGGAAAAAAGTTTTAAAATTATAATCACAAATTTCCAAATCCAATTAAGGGACTGAAACTTTCCAACACCAAGGAGCATCCAGCAGGAGCTGCAGGCCCCTATTATACTCACCAGCTCCAAGTCAGAGTCAAAGGTGATTGCAGACAGACTGTCATCTCCCTGCAGGAAGAGAGGAAATGCTGTCACTGTAAGGCAGTGCTCAGCCTGTGCAATAATGAAACAGAACCCAGCAGGCTGCACACAGGAATCTCCAGACACCCAGGCTCCCAGAGAGGAGGAGACAGACAGCAAGGCCTCCTCGTGGGGCTCCTGTCCTCAGACCCACGCGGCGTGCTGCAGAAGTGCTGTGTGCCTTCTGTAAAGAAAGAGCTCTAGACTAAACATTTCACTGTTCATCCTGTTTAAATGTTCTGATGCTTAGGCACTTTGCATCACAGCACGATGGATCTGGCTCCTGTGAGAACAGGGCAGTCTTATTCTAGAAAACATACTCCAGGGGCCAGGGGTGTGGCTCAGTGTACAACATGTGTTTAGCATGCGGCAAGCCCTAGGTTCCAGCCCAAGCATTGCAAAAAACAACAAAAAAGAAAGAAACAAAACAACCAACTCCTTATTAGCACACCTGTTATTCTATGAGGAGACAGTGGGCTTAAAAAGCTTCCTGTCTTCTTACTGCGGTGACTTTGCCCTGGCTGTGGGGGTACAAGGAAAGCCCCACCATCTAACACCAGGGCCAGACCCCAGGCCCTGGAAGGGCGTGTCCCAAAGAAAGGAAGCTGTCTGTGTTAACTCAGGTTGAAGTCCTAAAAAGAGTGATGACAGCAGAATATGTTTAAAACTTCTTTCAGAATAGTGATTTATAATGCTGGCAGTTAGACAAGGCTCTTTATTTGGAGCCACAACTGCTATGGCAGAGGGTGCAGGCAAGAAGGCAGAGCAGCCACCATCAAGGTGTTCAGAAAGCCGCAGGAGGCCGTGCCTAACTAATTAAATGACAGTGTGTCAACACGGTGACTTAAGATAGGGACCATTAACAGTGGAAATTATAAAAGTACCAAGGGAAAGCCAGGCCTTGCGGCAAAACCTGTAATTCCAGTGTTGTGGCAGTGCAGAGCAGCTCAGTGTTATGGGCAAGTGTTACAGCTCAGTGTGGCAGCTCTGGGTCACAGCTCTTGGTCAGTAGAAGAGGTGGAGGAAAACCTTTATTATGCCGGGCTCAGAGGAGTCTGAGTGTCTTACCAGAAATGAAAGCCTCCGTATACAGGGATATATAGGGTAGGCGAGCATGCTCAATGAAGCAGCGCTGCAGAGTTACAGAACATTCATGAAGTAAAGGGGTGGAGTTACAGAACATTCCTGAAACACATGCTGTGTGAGCATGCTCAATGAAGCAGGGGGTCGGAGCTACAGAACATCCCTGAAGTAAAGGGGCGGAGTTTAACTGAACCTTCTTGTGAATGTCTAATAGGACATTCCTGAAAGGTCACACAATTCAGACAGTCACAAACCATTTTGGTACATTGGGCAGGAGCCCAGCAACACAAACTTACATTTCTAAAACAAAACATTCTGGGGGAAAAAAAAATGATGGCAAGGGCCTGTCCTATTATACAGCACCATCACCAGCACTCTGGGAGGTTAAGGGAGGAAGACTGCAAATTTGGGCTTGTCCTGGACAACTTAGGGATTTAGCAAGACCTTGTCTCAAAATAAGAAATCATGCTGACGTATGTTCTCTGACCACAGTGGTAAGGACAAATTGACAAGAGAAAAAAATTATAAATTCAAAAATGTCAGAATTAAACAACACATTCCTATACAACCAAGGGGGTAAATTAGAAAATACTCAGGTGAAAAGCAGGGCCCAAAGGGAAACACACATCTGTAAATGTTCACATTTAAGAAGTCACGTCAAGTCAACAACCTCACCTCTCACCTCCCACCTCATCTCTCACCTCAGGATGAAAGCTGTGTCCAACTACAAAACTACAATTTGTAGTTGCAAACACCTACCCAGAAAAGATCTCAGGTGAGTAAGTTTTCACCCTCAGAAAGTACAAAGCGAAAAGTAAACTCACAGCAAGTAGAAAGAGGAAATAATAAAGGGTAGAGACTAAATGGGCTGGAAAAAAAAAATCAACAGAACCAAAAACCAGTTCTTTGAAAAGATCAAAAAAACTGACAAGCATTTATCAAGACTGATCATGAAAGAAAGAGTTAAGACACTAAATTATCAAAATAATGGAACAAGAGGGGACAATACTACTGACTGCATGGAAATAAGGAAAAGCCCAGGGCCACATGGTCCTACCAATGAATGCCACCAAATACTCAAAGGTAAATTGACACCAATCCTTCACAAATTAGAAAAGCAGGGAAAACCTTCCAAATCACTACATGAAGCCAGCATTACCCTGACACCAGACCAGATAAAGAGACTGCAAGAAAAGAAAACTACAGATCAATATTCTTTTTGAATACATATCCCTCAACAAAATACTAGCAAATGGAATTTGGCAACATTAAAAAAAGGATTATACCAAGGAGGGGATCGGATACCATGACTAAGAATGATTTATCCCACAAATGAGCAAAAGGTTGGTTTAACACACACCAAAATCAATGTAAAACACCATCTTGACTAAAAACGCATCATTATCTCAGAAAGACAAAAACCATATCATTATCTCAGAAGCCATGGGGCTGGGGATTTAGCTCAGTGGAACCACCTCTGGCTGCCTCACAAGTGCAAGGTCCTGAGTTCATTCCCCAGTACCCCCCCAAAAAATACAGATCTCGTAGCACCTGTGCTTCTGTATAGCATGTATCACATGAGTAATCATTAAGGGCTAGGGATTTAGCTCAGCAGCACAGCACCTGCTTGGCAAGCATGAGGTCCTGAGTTCAATTCCCAGTAACAACAACAAAAAGCTGTAGAAAATGAATTTGACACACATTCGTGATAAAAATACTGAAAAAACTTGAAGAGAATTTTCTCACCTAATAAATGGCATCTACAAAAACCCAGAGCAACATCATACTTAAAGAAGAAAGATTTTGAATATTTTCCTCTTAATATGAAAAAAAAGACAATATCCTTTCTCATTACTTCAATTCAAATGGTACTGCCCTTCTAGCCAGGACAATCCAAGAAAAATAAATGAACATTATCTGATGCTCTTACATATAGAGAATCCACTAAAAAACTATCAAAACTAATAAATGTGCTGGCCATACTGGTGTATGCCTATGATTCCAGTATTCTGGGAGGCTGAGGCAGGAGGATTGTGAGCTTAAGCCCAACCTGGGCAACTTAATGAGATCCTGTCTCAAAAGAAAAAATAAAAAAGGGCTGGGGATACAATCCCCAGTATGGGGGGTGGGGGGTGGGGATAATAAATGAGTTCAGCAAGTTTATAAGAAACAACAGTCATATGAAATATTAATTGTAGTTGTATCTGTTGCCAATGAAAAATCTAAAATGAAATTAAGAAAATCCCATTCACAGGATTAAAAAATGTGCTAAATATACACAATGGAATATTTTCAGCCATAAGAAAGAGTGAAGTCTTGTCATTATGGAGGACATTATGTGAAGCAAAATAGGCCAGGCATGGGAGGGCAAAGGCTGTGTGTTCTCACTCATATGCAGAAGCTAAGAAGTTGATCTAAACAGAAGCAGAAAGTAGATTAGTGGTTACCCAAGGCTGCGGGTGGAAACAGAGAAATACTGGTTAAGGTGCAAGAATACTGTTAGACAGAAAGATTAAATGCTACCGCAGCATAGTAGTATGACTATAGCTAACAATAATTTACTGTATATTTCAAAATAGCAGTAAGAGGGAAATTTGAACTTTCCTAACACAAAGAAATGATAAATATATGAGACACTGGGTATGCTAATTACTGTGTTTTGATCCTTATACATATGTCAAAATATCACACAGTACCCCATAAATATGCACAATTATTATACCAATTAAAAAAACACAAGTCCCTGGGTTCAGTCTACTGGAACCAAAAGAGAAGAAGAAAGCCAGTTTTGTACACTAAAAAATACAAAACATGGCTGAAGGAAGTTAGATAGTGACACAAATGGGAAGCTATCCCACGGTGATGGACTGGAAGACTGTCTATTATTTTAAGATGGCAATACTGCCCAAATTAATGTAAAGATCCAACGCTGTCCCTATCAAACGTCACTTATTGGTTTTTGAAATCTACAAGGAAATCTGGGCACAGTGGTGCATACCTATAGTCTTAGCTACTCAGGAGGCTAACGTGGGAGGATCAGTTGAGCCCACGATTTGAGATCAGCCTGGGCACAGGGAGACCACCCCCCAATGAAAAAAGAAACAAAAAGAAAAGAAATTGATAAGCAGCTCATAATACTCATTTGGAAATGCAAGACACGCAGAATACCAAAGAAAGATCTCATAAAAGTTTCAGGACTCATACTTCCCAATTTTATACGTACTACAGAATTATAATAATCAAGACCGAATGACATGGGCTGGGGATTTAGCTCAGTGGTGCCGCGGCCTGCCTCCCAAGTGGAAGGTCCCGAGTTTGATCCCTGGTACCAAAAAAAACCCTGAATGTCACTAATGTAAGAATAGACTTTTGAAAAGGGTGCCAAGACTGTATTAGGAGAAACAAGAGTAGTGCTGGGATAGTCAGTGCTGAGACTAATGGACATCCACATGCAAAAGAATCTCTTCCTAACAATATACACAAAAGAAATAACTCAAAACGCACCACGGACTAAGTAAGACCTAAAACCATAAAACTCTTAGCAGAAAACGCAGAAATCTCTATGACCTTGGATCGAGGAATGGTTTTTTAGATATACAGTGGTGCCTTGGTCCATGCACTTAATTCTTTCCATGATTCTGGAATTAAATTCAAGAACTGAGGTATCACTGTAACTCTAAAAGATTGAAAGAAGCTGGGCATGGTGGTGCATCCCTGTACTTTCAGCACTTGGGAGGCTGAGGCAGGAGGGTCGCTGCAAGTTTGAGCCCAGCCTAGACTACATAGTGAATTCAAGGCCAGCCTGAACTACATGGCGAGACCCTGTCTCAAAAATGAATAAATAAATGAGAAAAAAAAATGAAAGAAAAAAATAGGTAAACTAAACTGTATCAAAGCTGCATCATAATTAAGAACTTTTTGTTCTATAAAGAGTACCAGTTTACCACAAAAAACACAAAAACTAATAAATGAGGTGTTATGGCCCCTAAAGCCTCTTGCGCTCATAGGTGGAGCTTCTGGGAGTGATGAGATCATGGGTGTGATACTGGATTAGCCCACTGATTGGTTTAGCATAGCTCTGAGTGTGGTTGATGGATTTACTGAAGAGGGGAAATCCACCCTGGGTGTGGATGGCACCAACCAATAGGCTTGCATCCTGGACTGAATAAAAACGGAAAGAAGGAATTCTCACTGCTTCCTGTCTGCCTTATCATGAGCTTTCTTCTCTGCCATGCTGCCTTGCCTTGGAGCCAGCTGACTAAGGACTGAAACCTCTATAGACTGTGAGCTGAAATAAACCTCTTCTTCTTTAACTTATAGGTGTTGGTATTTTGTCCCAGGAATGAGAAAGTAACTAAGTCATGAGGTCAGCAAGAAAGTAAAAGACAAGCCACAGAATGGCAGAGATTATTTGCAAATGATATGTCTGGTAACAGACTACTATGCAGAATATATAAAGAACTCATAATTACAACTCAATAATAAAAAGAAAAACCCATTATTTTCAGTGCTAGGGAGTAAACCCAGGCCCCACAAATGCTAAGCAAGTGTTCTACCACTGAGCTACATCCGTAGCCCACAACCCAATTTTTAAAATGGGCAAAAAATCTGTATATCTCTCCAAAGAAGATATACAAATGACTAACATATTAAATGACTATACTAAAGCTACTGAGCTGTACACTTTAAATGAGTCCATTTTACAGCATGAGAGTCGTATTCTGGTAAAAGATGTTTTACATCTGGGAATGTAGCTCAGTGATACAGCACCTATCCAGCATGTGTGAGGCCCTGGGTTCCAATCCCAGCACCACCCAAGAAAAAATTTTTTCAAAGAAGTTTTAGAAAAAGAATGAGTATATGTATTCTACTTCATGTGGAATACATGAAGTTAAGACAACTGGCTGTCTGTCTGGGATACCAAAACATTTTCCAATGAATTAAAGACTCACATGATAAAAGAAAATGTGAAAAGTTACATCACGCACAGGGGCCTGGCTCTGCTGCCAAAGGGTCATTGCTCAGAGCAGTAGTAAACAAATACAGTTTGTGCATGAAACAGGAGACTGACAGTCATGGGTGAATCTGGAAATCTCAATTTCATGTAGGTGGGAGAGCGATGAACATCACCACCAGTACTCTTTCATCTGCAGAGGAGAGTGGTAACCTCACGATTTCCTGGGAGGCCAAACCCCACAGGCCTGCCTGCTTGGCTCTGACACATCCCCCAGTTTTAGTTCTCAAGTTCTGACTGAGAACTCTATCTGCTGGAGTTTCTGAAAGGGAAAACACAGACAGCTGATGGTGTTCACAGTGAAGCAGGGTTTTCTGGCACAGTTCAGAGCCAAGGATCTGCCCAAACTCCAGGGGCACAGGACCTCTGCCAGCCTCCCTTGTGTGGATGGCAGATGCCAAGGCCTCTTGTGCCACATGGTGTGAGATTTGGTCTTGGCCACGGAGAGGTCCGGGAGTGAAGCAGGTGTCACAGAGTCAGGCAGACATGAAAGCCCCTGAGTGCTCTGCTCATGTCTCCTGGGCACCATCAGCCCTTCACAAGTGTGGCTCTCACATCACCTGTGACCCTCCCTGTGCTACTCCCCACTAGAATGCATGCAGCCCTGGGGCTGCTTGCAGTCAGGCTGAGGAGCACCCTGCACTTGGGAGGGGCTCCCAAAGCCTCACAAGCATGCCCAGAGGTGCTCTGCTCCCAGGGTTGGGAAGGAGATGGACTTGGCAGCCTCTTCCCTCAGGAAGTTCTTTCAGGTTTAGGGAAACAGATCCAAGCTCAGCAAAAGACCCACGAGCCAGGCAGCCTGGGCAAGGCTGAGTCTTCCATGGGACTGAATCCCTAGAGGCACCAGGGAGGCACCAGGTCCTAAGTTGTTTTTGTGTCCTCAGAACCTAGGACAGGGCCTGACATGTTTATCATATACACACAATTATAGCAACATTGTTTCTAAAAGAAAAAACTCAAAAGAGTAAAAACTGGGAAAAGGATAAATAAAATAGGGTTAGAATTTTTTAAATCATGTTTTAAAAAATATGTGGATATGGAAAGTGCTAACATAAAAGTAAACGGCAAAGATTACAAGACAATATAAACATGATCTTGGTTTTAAAAATGTATGGGGGAAAAGATGTGCAGAAAAATATTAGAAGGAAATTCAGCAAATGTTAGCTGATTTTCTGTAGGTAGCCAGATTACGGATAGTTTTTCAAATTTCCTATAATGGGCATGGATTACTTTCATAATCAGAACACAAGCAGTTCTTAAAGTAGAAGGAGGGCTGAGGTGGCTCACTTGCCTAGCATGCACAAGGCCCTGGATTCGGTGGGGGAGAAGGGAAGGTGGGTGAAGGGATAGTAACTCAGGGCAGGTATAGACAGGCAGGTCCTGCAGAAGAAATGGGAGTGGGGTGCCTTGAGGGAGAAGTATGGACTGCAGTTGCTCCAAGTTGGCCAGCAGGACAGAGCCCCATCCTGGGTGGGCTTGGCACAGACCACTGAGTCGTGGCCAGTGTGGAATCTTCCTCTGGATTATCTTGCACCCCCAAGGAAAAATAAACTCAAGGTGCTTCAGCACCACCAAGCCTATGCCTACCTTCCATTCACTCCCCTAACCCAGCCTAATGCCAGCAATCACTGGTGCATACCACACTGTTCCACCCCAGGGCCTTTGCACCTGCCGCTCCCATACCCCAGGCCTTTCCCAGCTGTAGCTTTTGGTATCTGTAAGCTTCGAAAGGAGCAACATCTCAAAGAGGGTGTCCGGGCCCTAGATCTACAGCAGCCCTCCTGGATCACATTCCACTTTCTGCCTTGACCTTTATTACCCGCCTGTTGCTTTGTCCTCCCCCACGGGAAAGCAACTCGTTCTCATTCAGTCTCCATCACACAGGAGGCCTTCTCTACGAAGAGACTAGCACCCTGCTGTCCGCCCACGGCCCGGGTGGGGGGCAGAGAGGAACCCCGCCTCCGAGAGGCCCTCTACAGGGAGCAGGGGCCCTCGCTCCTCACCGACGGGACGCGGCGACAGGTTCTCGGGAGGCGCAGCCCCGGAGGGCTTCCAGGAAGCGGCGGCTTCGCGAGCTCAGGCGGGAGCTGGAGGCCTGTGCGCGACGGCGGTCGACATCCTGGCGGCCTTGTGGGGCAACAATCGGGCAGGCGTCGCCGCGTCTCGGCCTCCCGCCGCCCGTGCCCGTGGAGCGCGAGGGAGGTCGCAGCGTCTTACCGTCTCTGAGGCCGTTCCCAGGCTCATGGCTACGGTGCTGCCGGGCTGCCGCAGCGCCGGGCTCGGCCGTCTAGGTCCGCAGTCAGCTAGGCCTCCCCAAGCCTTGGCGCAAGACTTCCCGTTGTCATGGCAACCGCGCCGCGGCCCAGGGCGCCCGGATGTGTCCCCGCCCCCCTACGCCGTCTGACCCGGGCGTGCGCGGAGCGGGAGTGCGCGTGCGCGGAGCGAGTGTGTAGTGCCAAGGGCCTATTGCAAACGTTCCGTGTGTTGCGGTGGCCCGAGGTGGGGCTGACCCGGAAGTCGCTGCGCTGACAGCTTGCATTGTGTCCCGGGTCACTGCCGCAGTTACAGGCAGAAGTTTGCGTTCTTAGCCAGACCTTCTCTGATGCATTCTTTTTTATTTTATTTTATTTTTTGTATTGGGCATTGAACTCAGGAGCTTTCGCTTGCGAGGCAGGCGGCGGCACCACTGAGCTAAATCCCTGGCCCACTGATGCATTCTTTTTTTTTTTTTTTTTTTTTGGTACCGAGGATCGAACTCGGGTCCTTGCGCTTGCTCAGCAGGCGACGAAACCACTGAGCTAAATCCCCGGCCCCCACTGATGCATTCTTAAAGGAAAAAAAATCGCTTGCTGCCAGAGTTATTTAGAAAAGGCAAATCTAACCAGTCCACTCACCTGCTTAAAAGCTTGTATCCTCCACGACACACACCGTAGCTCTGTTGCCTCCACCCCCAGGGGTTCGCTGTCTTTCTCTTAATAATGAAGAGTGTCTGCTTGTGACTTTATTTTTGGGGGGACAGACTCGCTATGTAGTCTAGGTTGGCCTCAAGTGCTGGGATTACAGGAGTGTACTACCATGCCCGGCACTGTCTATGATTTTGAGTTTTTTAAACTTCTAAAAATCTTTCACAATTCATTTTGTCACCAGACAGGGTCCGAGGCAGTTCCTGAAACAGGTAACCCACCCATTTTGTAGGATAAGTTTGCAAGTTCGCTGACTCCCCTCGCGGATAAATAAGTTTCAGGACTAATCAAAGGCACAGGAAGGTTTTTATTAGTTTCATTAGGAAAAAAATTAAAAATACACAAAGAAATAAGAGTGCAGGCCCTTGAGAGAGAGGCACTTATTGAGGGGGTAGGAATCCCGAGAAAAGCCCCCCACAAAGTGAAGCCCATTTTACAGGTATCAGTCCAGCTTTACAAAAAAAAAAAAAAAATAGGTAAATATTCTTTGGATTCTCTCAACCTGCTCCTTTATCTTAGATCGGGTTTCTGCTCTTTATTTTTTCAGTTAAGCAAATTTATGCACTGTCAGTATTCCTGAGAAACTTTGGGTATGATGGGTCTGGTAGGAAAGGAGCCTAAATTTAACACAGGGAAGGAACACTGATTTGGATCGCCTTAGATAACTTCGACTGAGGCCCAAAAGCTGCAGTCTTCTTAAACGTACAATTTTTAGTTATAATTTCCTTGTCTGCTTTTTACCTATCTTTTATTTCTTCTATCCTACCTCAATTTGATGGAAAAATTGGTCTTAACTTCAACTCTTGTAGGAAAAACTCCCAGCTGCATCTACTTATTCCTTTTGGAGTACATATTAATGTTTTACTGTAGAACTGTTAATGTAGCAGGCAGTGCTGCGTCAGACTCTGCTGGGATTGTAATCTCCTATTCGTTGTATGTATATCATGTAATGCCTAAAATCTGAAAAATTCAGAATTCTGGAAGATACTAGTCCCCAAAGTTTCAGCTAAAAAATCGTGGACGAATATAGTACAGTATTCATAACCGTGGCAACTGTCTGTGTTCAAAGCCAAGCTGTGCCAACTCATTAGCTATGAACCCGTATGAATGAGCTTCTCTGCCTGTTTCCTCATCTGAGGGCATAGGAATAGCACCCGCCCTCCCAGAACTGCACTAGAATCACATACACATATTTGAAGTTCAGCATTTAGCAGAGTTATTTTGTTTTACTTTCTCCACGGCTACCCAATCAGGTTAATATTAGCATTCACTACCATCTCATCCTACCATGAATCAAAAAGTTCAGGGCATCTGTCTACGTTTCAATCCTTTTCAGTTAAGGAGTCATACCTGCCTGGGAGAGGGCCCACACGGTTAGGGAACGGAGTTGTGCAAAGTGGTTCCCTCATCGATGTTATTTCCATCTTAATATCCACAGAAATTCTCCTTTCTATATAAAATTGGTATTTGCTTCGAAGTCTTGCTGTAAAACCGTAAAACTGATGCTATAGAAAAATGAGCCTTATTTATCTGCGGGCTTTGAGAGCCTTTGGCACAAAGCTGAAAGCTTAGTTTTGAGGTGCTGAGGCCAAAGGCCTTCCCCCCTCTCGGTCTGGGCCGAAGAGGCCCCGCCCCCGAGCATATCCCCGCCTCTTCCTTTAGGAGCTCCGCCTTCGGGACGCTCTTCCGGTTGGCTGCTTGGGCATGTACCACTGAGAGTCCTGTGGGGAGTGATCGGTCCGAGCGACTGATGTGGTGTCACTTTTCCCAGTTCCACAGAGCTTCAGCTCTTTTTTCCAAGTCTTAACTCTCTAGGCGACCTGAGTGTCCTCTAAGTAAACTATCACGGTTCCCGACACCCAACATCCTTGCCCTCTTCCTCCCTGGGCCCGGCGGTGGCACATTCTGAGTGGGTTGGGCGGGGCCTCAAGAGGCTTTGGGGCGGGGTAGAGGTGGGCGGGGTTTGAGACAGGGAAGGAGGCCAGAGACGACGTGGGGCGGGGCTTGAGGCGGTGCGGTGCGGGACCTGTGGCGGACGCGTTGGGCCGCGCAGGTGAGGAGTGCGTTGGCCGCGAGTGGTGGTCTAGGTGGCTGCCGTGGGCGGGTGAAGTCCGGGCTCGGCCGGGAGGACAGGCAGGCGGGCGGCGGGCGGAGCGTGGCAGGCCTAGGTTAGGTCCCCGTCGCCGACCGCGGCCGGCACGTCTGGCCCCTTGTGTACCCTCAGGCCTGGCGCGGGGCGGGCCTCCAGCCACAAACTAAGGCGGAGTCGCCGGAGGGCTACTCTTACCTGGGCGGAGCCTTTCTGGGAACAGGCACACGGATGCCCCAGGCAGGACAGAACCCGCAGAGCGACAAACGGCCTCCCCACGTTCTGGGTCGGACACGGGACTGATGGACAGCCTGGTCCTGGGGAACCACTGCTGGCTACCTGATTGTCTACTGCAGCCCCTGCTCACCCTGCGCGAACAGACCCTGGGGCTGGGCACACAGGCTGACCGAAAGCTCCCAGCCCCGACTCCGGGCCACCTGCAGCAAAATCAGCCCTTACCTGTGTTCCCCAACCCACTGTGCCAAAGCCGAGGTTCCACAGATGCTGAATGCCAAAGGAATGGTGGGTTTTGCCGGCCTCTCAGAGCCGGGCCACCAGTACTCGGGGTCCTGTGTGCCCTTCATCTCTGCACGCGCGCGCGCGCGCGCGCGCACACACACACACACACACACACACACACACACACACACACACACACACACACACACACACACACACACACACACACACACCACTGAGCTTTGGGTCCATCCAGACAGCTCGGAGCTCCAGGCTGAGGGCTTGTTTCCAGGCCTAGCAGGCGCCATGAGCTGCCTGTGATTAGGGAACCTGGGGTCTGCAGCCAGGCATGAGTTTCCCTCATGTTTCCTGTTTAGAAAACCCTGGGCTCATCATGGACCCCGAGTGCTCCCGCCTTCTCCCAGCTTTCTGTTCTGTGCTGGTGGATCCCAGGCAGGCGGTGGCAGATGACACCTGTTTGGAAAAGCTGCTGGATTGGTTTAAAACGGTGACTGAGGCTGGTAAGGACCACACTGCTGCTCTTGTCTGTTGTCCAGAGGTCAGAGGATGTGTGCAGAGCGATGGACAAGGTGCTCAGGGCTCTTCTGTCCATCTAGAATCTTCCCCTCACTTCCTAGAGACCGTGGCTTATGGGGATAAGCAGGCCAAGGCTGGAGGCAGTGACCTGGAACTGTTAGTGGAGTCCAGCTGCCATTCAGTCTTCCTTCCTTCTCCCCGCCATGTGGTAGCTGCAGAGAGCCCAGATGAGCTGTTGTCTGTCTTGAGTCAGATTTGGTTTCTTTCTGATTATGAAAGAAGTACATATTTCTGGTTTTTGTTTGTTTGTTTGCAATACTGGATATTGTATCTGAGATCTTCATGTTGAACTATATCCTCAGCCCATTGTTTATTTTTTATTTTGAGATAGGGTCTCAGTCACTAAGTTGCCCAGGCTGGGCTTGAACTTGGAATCCTCCTGCCTCAGCCTCCCAGAGTGCTAGAATTATAGGCATGCACCACCACACCCAACAGGAGAGCACATTCAACGCAAAAGAGTAAAGAGGGGAATTATACCGCCATCATTTTTATTTTCTTCCAGCCTTTTTTCTGTAAGTCCATGTTTTTCTTTTCTTTCTTTTTTTTTTTTTTTTGGTGCCAGAGATTGAACTTGGGTCCTTGTGCTTGCGTAGCAGGCGACGAAACCACTGAGCTAAATCCCCTGCCCTCCACTTTTTTCTTATAAATATAAAGTCATACCACAAATACAACTTTAGAGTCTTGCTTTTTCTCACTTACCAATAGAGTGGATGCTTTCCCCATGGAACACATTGATTTTATTCACTCCATTTTATTTGCTATCTAAGCAGCCCATGATTTCATTTGTCGTTAGATATTTTGTTATTATAGGGCCAGGGATTTAGCTCAGTGGTGCTGCACCTGCCTTGCAAGCACAAGGTCCTGAGTTCAATCCTTGGTACTGAAAAAAACAAGAGTTGGGAATATTTTGTTACTATAAATAGGGCTGTAATGGCTTTCCTTGTGCATATTCTTACACCTAAATGTTTACTGATAGTTGCCCTACGTAGATTTTATGATATTTATTTATGCTTTCATTACTTCCTTTGATTTATTCTGCTATTTTGCTCTCTTTTGAGTTGAATATATCTTTCTTGTTTTTGTATTTAAGGCTACAGATCTCTATAAAAGCATTACTTGAGGTGCATCCGAAAGGGTTTTTCCCCCCCCTTAGCCAGGCATGGTGGCACACGCCTGTAATCCCAGCACTCGGGAGGCTGAGGTAGGAGGATCATTGTCAGTTCAAGGCCAGCCTGGGCTGCATAGCAAGTTGAAGACCAGTTTGAATGACATAGCGAGACCCTGTCTCAAAAAACAACAAAAAAAGATTTTTTCCCCCTCAGTACTAACAGTTGAGCATAGGGCCTTTGCAGTGGGCTACATCACTGGCTTTTTTTTTTTTTTTTTGGCAGTACAGGTGGGGGGGATATCGAACTCAGGACCTTGTGCTTGGGAGGCAGCCTCGGCACCACTGAGCTAAATCCCTGGCCTGGTTTGCGGGGTTTTTTTTTTGGACCTTTGGTACTGAGACCTGAACCTAAGGCCTTTGCACTGAGCTAGATTCCCAGCCATTTTAAAATTTTTTATCTCACCAAGTTACTAACTTGCCCAAGCCGGGCTTGAACTTGTGGTCCTCCTGCCTCAGCCTCCCAGAGTACTTGGATTATAGGCGTGTTCCTTTGTATCTGGCCAAGTTTTTTAGTCTTTTTATTGTTGGATTCTCACTTATTTCATTGGCTAGATAAAAGTGTTTAACTCTCCAACAGGTAAATTTAACGTTTTGTTTGCTGAGGTTGCATTTGAACTTAATTTATCACGTTCTTTTACATTTGGCCCTCTGCCACCCATCTCAGCTCCTCTTCTGCCTGTGGCAAAAAGATAAAGCTTCTCTTTCTTTTCTGGTTTGGAAATTTACACATCCTGTTTATGTTCTCCATTGGTCACCCTTACACACTTACTTAACACTTAAACTAGTTTTTCATTTTAAAGAATCTGAAATTGACTGGAATCTCTCAACCTCCAAAAATTGAAGATCTGAAAGCCCTTTGGCTTTGGCTCCCCGATCCTTCCCATCATCACTGTCTAAGACTTTCATTCAGTCTTATTTCAGGAGTCTTCAACAATGATTTATTTTTAGGGTTTTTTTGGTACTGGGGATTGAACTCAGGACCTTGCACTGTGAGGCAGGTGACAAACCACTGAGCTAAATCCCCAGCCTTTATTTTTAGTTTTTTAAAAAATACAACATGCAGGTCTAGTTTTCAGACTTTAATTTTAGAGTCCTTTAGTTTTTGCTCTTTTTTCCCTTAGGCTCACACACGTGTTTATTGGTTCTGTTTCTGACTCCCTCCCCTTCACCCTGCTGTCTTCCCACTGACTGACCACATTTATCTGCTCATCCTTCCCATGAGGACCTCCCCTGGGGACACTCCCTGCCTCCCTGCTTCAGGGAAAACTGAACCATGTATTCTGGGGCCAAGTGCCTAAGGTGAAAATGGTGTTGCTATTTGGGGATTGATCCCAGGTCCTTGCACTGGGCCACATCCCCATTCCTTTTATTTTTTATTTGGGATAGGATCTCACTAAGGCTGGGATCAAACTTTTGATTCTCCTGGCTCAGCCTCACTCAGTACTGGGATTATGGGTGTCGCTGCTGTTCCTACACTTTCATAGTCAGTGGGACCAAACACTTTCCCAGGGTTGTGGAGTGCTGTGCTTCTTCTGCATGGCCTTTACCTGTGGCTCTGCTCTTGGCTTTCTACCACCCCCCACCCCCCGCCATGGATTAAAGTCAGGATTATTCACTTGTTGCAAATATTCTTCCCAGTTGGACTGTGGAGTCCAGCACCCTGAGGGACAGGGCCCCTGAGGTCACCCTGGGGATGCAGTGCTGTGTTGGAGTCACATGGAGAGAGTGCAGTGGTGGGGTGCACATTTCCCCACTGTTAGATGGGTTCATGAGTGCCTGGTCACCCCTGTGACAGTCCTCTGGGCTGGGCTGTCCCTGCAGGGTCCAGCCTGCTGCTGCTGCAGGAGAACCCTTGCCTGGTGGACCTGCTGTCTCATGTGCTGGACCTGAAGCCACAGGATGTGAGCCCCAGGGTCCTCTCCTTTTCCCTGCGCCTCGCCGGAATGTTTGCAGCCCAGGAAGACTGCTTTGAGTACCTTCAGGTGAGCCCAAACCCGCCCACCTGCCTGTGCCCTGCGAGGTAGATTCCTGAGGCATTGGAGCCATCCCTGTCCCTGGAGCTCAGAAGGGTCCTGCTCTGGGGTCTGGCAAGTACTGCCAGGTGTTCACCCTGTTTAACCCCCCTCTGAAACATCCACCAGGAGTGATGTTGTGGCTCAGGCGGGACTTGTTAGCAATTGGGCAGAACTGGGATGGTTCTCAGATCTGTCCTGTGTCGTGGCTCAGGCGGGACTTGTTAGCAATTGGGCAGAACTGGGATGGTTCTCAGATCTGTCCTGTGTCGTGGTCTTCGTCCTGAACCTCAGTTTCTTCCCATGGCAGAGAAGGAGCCCTGTGTCAGAGGCTGCCGTGGGGGTCCTTGGGCCTGAAGGCCTGGGTGGGAGGGCTCTTGGCTGTTTGCCATGGGGTGATGACCAACAGAACCTCCCTGGCCCTTGCCAGCCCAGAGTAGTGGCTCCTTCTGGCTCCTTGGAGCCCCTCGAGGCAGTGTGAAGACATTGCATTCTCTGTGCCAGGAGCCCTGGGGATGCGTGCTGTATTGGAGTCATATGGGGAGAGGGAAGTGGTGGGGTGCACTTTCCCCCACCATTAGATGGGTTCCTGGGTGACCTCCATTCAGCAGCCTCAGACTTTAAGAGCCAGGCCCCATCTTGATATGGGATGGACTCTTCAAAATATTCTGAGCACCCCTGCTGTCATGAAATGCACATCAGGGCACAACTCTGCTGCTGCCCTTGCTTGTGGTCTGAGTCTGTCCATACAGAGCACTGCAGGGTTTATAGAGTGACTTCTGTGACTCATCTGCCAGTCCAAGGTCTTCCACTTGAGGAGGAAACATCCAGGGGCCAGTCTGGGGCCACCACAGAGTTGGGGAACCCATGCTGGAACTGAAGAGTCAAACTGTCCCAACAATGTGTTCCCAAGAGTGAATTTTCAGTTGAGGATGTTCTTTTGTTTTTGTGGTGCTAAGAATGGAGCCCAGGGCGAGGTGGGGAATCACACCACCATGGGGCCACACCCCCCACCACCAGCACTCTGTTTTCCCCTTCCTTAGTTTCCTGTTTCTCTTTCTGTCTCCTCCTGAGGCTGATGGTGCTTGGGGCTTGACTGCCCTTGAGGGTAGCAGGTCCCCTGTGTGTGAGGATGAGGCACACAGTCCCCTCCTGGTCCTGCGGCACAGGGCAGGCCTCGGGTGCCCTTGCCATCCACCCTGGCCTGGTGGTCTGATAGCCTGAGGCCTTTGGCAGCTGCTCAGCACCACCCGACTCTGTATTGCCTGGGACCCAAGGCAGGTAGCCGAGCCAGGAGTTGCACCCAGGAAGGGTGGGACTTCAAGGAAAGGGCTCCTGTTTGAGCAGCCAACAGCAGCACCCCTTCGCCTGGGGTGGGGATCTCAGGCTGAAGTGGGGTCAGGGTGTGGGCACGTCTTATACCGTTAAGTTGCACCATGCAACTTAAGTCCCACCAGGGTGGAACTTAGAGGAAAGGACCAAGAGGGACGTGAGGCAGGAGCTGCTTTGCAGAGAGAGCCCACATCCTGAGACGCTGATGTTCCCCTGGAGCCTGCAGTAGGGAACAGATTTCCTGCCCCAGGAGGTGAGGCTGTACCTGATGGGATACCTGAGGCCTGGCCCACACTGGGCACAGTCCTGGCTGCCATTTCTGAAGTTAGTCGGGCCTGCCAAGGTGCAGGGAATGACTGAGCCAGTTGAGGGCTCCATCAGCCAGTCAGGATCAGGGGTAGCACAGGGCTGTTAACATCTACTAACACAGGCAGGACAGTGTGATGACACCTAGCAAGGTCCTTGGCAAATGGTGGCTCCGCAGGGACCTTGTGGGGGAAGTGGCTGGGAGCCTGGGCTGTGTAGATGGAATAGCTGCGGGGATGGCCCATGCTTGCACGGTCGGGCTTAGCTGATTCACTTGGAGTGTGGGGTGTCCAGAAGGTCTGAAATTGTCAAGGTGGGGGACACTCCTGTAAAGGAGGTGTGTGCAGGCTCAGCTCAGAGGCTGTGGGCAAGCATGAAGGTCGAGCACCCTGAGGGGCACAGGGCGTGTGGACATGTGAAGGTGAGGTTGTGGGGCTGGAGTCTTAAAGTACAGCCACAGGAGTGATGGACCTTCCCTGAAACCCAGTTTCTTCTCGGAAGCTCTTGCCCTGCAAGGCAGATCTGGCAGTGCCGGGCCCTACCCACTGGCTCTGAGAGCTACCCCTGCTCAAAGCACAGCTGTGTCCCCAGAAACAGACCTGTTTCCCATCTGCCCCATATCCCAGCAACCTCAGATGCCACTTTTCTTTGCTTCCCAGCAGGGGCAGTTGCTGCTGGGGCTCTTTGGGGAGGCGGGACCCCTCAGCTGGGCTGTCTGGAGCGTCCCCACTGTGCGCAGCGGCTGGATCCAGGGCCTGAAATCCCTGGCACAGCACCCCGGGGGCCTGCACTTCCTGGGGGACAGCGGTGAGTGCCTCATGCCATGGGACCCAGGGGAGTCTCTGCACCTGCAGAACCTGGTCCTCAGCTGCAGGGCTGGCAGTCATGGCCCAGGGATGCTGTGGTGGTCATGTCCCTGGCTAATAGGCCAGGCCCTGGGAGCTGGGGGACTCACTAAGTTGCTCACACACTAGCCATGGGGAGTCAGTCTTTTAAATTTGTTAGAAAGAATCAGGAGGTTCCATGGGCTGAACACTTATCCCCAGGTCTGGCTGCTTCTGAATGGGCTGGTTGGGGGCCCTGTGGTACCTACTGCTGTTCACATCTCTCCACCTCTTTCTCTGAGATGCTGAGGGGTATGATTAAAGTGGTCCTGTGCCCCCCACTCTGTAGGTTGACCCCCATTTTACCTGTCCCCCTTTGGTCCACAGGTGCGGTTGATGCCCTCTTCTCCCTGCAGGGAGATTCCAGCCTGTTTGTGGCCTCTGCTGCCAGTCAGCTCCTGGTGCATGTCCTAGCTTTGTCCATGCAAGACAAGGCCGAGGGGTCCCCTAGCCTGAAGGGCAGTGCCTGGCCCGCATGTGCCCAGAAGATTGTGGCCCATGTAGAAGCGTCCTTGTGCTCCACAACTGCCCTGCAAATCACTCAGGCCCTGAACGTCCTCACCACCACCTTTGGGCGCTGCCACAGCCCCTGGACAGAGGTCCTCTGGGGGCAGCTGAGTCCCCTGGTGGCCCACCTGTTGGACAGTGAACCCGTCCCAGCCACACACTCGCTGGTGGACCTCCTCCTCAGCGTGGCCCGGTCAGGTCCCTGGGACATGGTTGGGGGGGGCCCAGGTGGGTGGTGATTCCCCCAGGAAGTCTCAGAGCAGTGGTCACGCCTGGGCACTCCTCATGGCAGACAGAGATGGAATCAGCCCCTGAAAATGCTGCCATGATGGCAGTGTTCCTGAGGAGGACCCCTTGCCCTGGCGAAGGCCATCCACAGGGCTGGGCATCTCCAGCAGGGGCCGTGGCAGTCCCCACTTGTCACTGTGGGGCCTTTGTGGGATAGCAGAGTGATTTTTCTCTCTCGGGTCCTTCCTGCAGTTCTCCTGTGTTTGCTTCTGCAGACTGTACCCTGTGGGAGACTATAGCCCGGATGCTGAGCTGCCTGAGCCCCATGCAAACTGGGCCTCTGGCCTTAGGGACCTTGAAACTTCAGCACTGGTATGATTGGGCAGCTTTGTCTCAGGTGGGGCTCTGGGAGTGTGGTACTTATGGTCAGGGGACTTCTGGGAGAGAAGGCCAGCAAGGCTGGGCAGTGCAATGGGCAGGGCCAGGTGTTGGTGCAGACTGGCTTTCTTAATGACAGAAGAATTATTTTAAAAGCTTATTCCTAGAGCTTCTCTGGTTGAGGAGATAAGCAGAAACCAGAATCTGCTCTCAGCCCTTGAACCCTTCTTGGTGACCATGGCCATAGGTCCTGGAGCCTCATGAGTATCCATATACAGGAGGTGCGCTGAGGGTTGGAGAGAGGAAGGATGTGGAATGCCTTCCAGGGTCCTGGGTTGGCATACATTTGGGGAGGAGAAGTGGCCTGAGCAGCTCTCCAGAGGGGCTGTGAGTGTGTCACCAGCCTGCCTCTGGGCTCTTGCCCTCCACATGCTCAGAGAGAGTGGACAAGGGGAACAAGGGACCAAGCATCCTGCCCTTAGTGCTCTGTGCTAGGATAATTGCCCCTCCAACCCCAAGGCCTAGACCCTAGGGTGGGCCCATCTACAGAGCATAAGAAAGGACATCTCAGAGCTGAGTATGTTGTTGCATGCTTGTAATCCCAGCCTAAACAACTTACCAAGGCTCTATCTCAAAATAAGAACTGAAAGATAGGTAGAGATATAGGTTGGTGCAGAGGTCCTGGCTTCATTCCCTAGTACCACAAAAGAAAGGTCATCTCAGATCACTGTGCACAGATGGCAAGATGGAGCATGCCTGGGCATGCTCTTGGGAACTCGGAATTCCCTGTTACCCTGAGCAGGCATGGCCCTTCTGGGAGGGTGTGACTATCTCTTCCTGAGCCCCAGAACCCCGGTGGCTGGACACCATGGCTGAGCCCTAAGCCTTCGTCAGGCTTATTCTCCACCCAGCAAGATACCCTGCATAGAAGCTGCTTCTCAGGAGGTGCCCAGCCCCTGGCTTTGTGCGGATTTGCCCAACTTGATAGGGGTGTTAGGGACACAGCCAGCCTGCCTCAGCCCAGTGCAGCAGCCTTCACGTGTGTCCTGTGTCCACAGTCCACAGGCACTGAGATCCCAAGCCTTCGGGGTCCTTCTCCAGCCCCTCGCCTGTATCCTGAGAGCCACTGCTCAGGCCCCTGGACCCCCAGGTACACTGAGTAGTGTGGGAAGGTAGAACCCGGATCTCTCAGCTTTGCTCCCACCTCCTGCTGAGAGTGAAGGGCGCTGGGGTGGAGGTGCCACAGCCCTGAACTTGGGACCTGGTCTGTGATTGGGTCAGTGACTACCGCAAGGGAGCTGTTCCTGTTTTGCTGCAGGCCTGCTGGATGAGACTACCCAAGGTTGCTCCATGACGGTGGACACTCTACTGTCTTCTAAGTCGGCCTGTGTGGGGCTTCTGTGCCAGACCCTGGCCCACCTGGAGGAGCTGCAGCCACTGGTAGGTGTGTCCCTGCTTGTGGCAGATGGGCAGCGGGACTGTGACCTCTGATGACCCTCCTGTCCTCCTGCAGCCCCAGCACCCCTTGCCTTGGCCCCAGACACTCCTGGTGGAAGCTGTGGTGATCATCTTGCGGCTCTGCGATGGCTCAGCAGCCCCCAGCTCCAGTGAGGGGTGCCGCCTCTGTGGGACCCTGGCAGGCTGCATTCGGGTCCAGCGAGCAGCCCTTGGCTTCCTAGGGACACTGACTCTGGGCACAAGTGAGTGACTGTGGGGTTGGGTGGGCTGAGCCCCTTCCCTCTCTATGTAGAGGTTTCCAGGAACTCTGAGGCCTTGTGCTCAGCCGCCTTCCCTGCTCCTTGAGGCTGGATGCACAGTTCCTGCTGGGAGGGAGCTCCTGGGGTGACTCATCCGTTTATGTGTGTCTCAGGCAGCTGGGAGCTGGTGCCACAGGTGTTTGCCATCCTCTTGGAGACCCTCAAGAGCCCCGCCTCCAGCCCGACGGTACAGGGACAGGATCTGGGCTCTGGGAGCCATAGCTGGTCCCCTTCTGACATGGGCCTCTTGGAAGGGGGCCTTTGCTGGGGACCCAGCACTGCTGCTTAAAGTGGAAGGCAGGCAGATGCCTGGGTCCACAGGGGCTGTGTGTGAGGGGACTTGCCGTTCCCTGGTGAGCCAGGCACCCTACAGGGAAGCAGGCTGAGTCCACTCATCCTACAGGGAATCCCAGAACTGAGCCAGGGTGGCCACTATGCTTGGGACCCAAGTTCCTAGAAATGTGCCTGTTTCAGTGGTTACAGACTTAGTGCCACATGCCACATGCCACAGGGCAGACAGTGGGCCTGGGTGAAGGGCTTGCGGGATTCTTGAGCCTTAAGGAAGAGGTGCCCCAGAGAGCTTGTGGTGTCTTGGTGCAGGGCGGGCAGGGCTCCTGGCCAGAGCTCTCCCCTGCTGTCTCCTGGGGCAAGCGCCAGGGCAGGTAAGGGCTCACCCTCCTACCCTCCTGCTCTACAGCCCATCTGCCCACCCACCTGCTGCAGGTTCTGAAGAAGGCCTTCCAGGCCGTACTCCACTGGCTCCTGGACTCACCCACGCCCCCTGGCTGTTCCGACCTCGGCCCACACACCCCACTGTTCCTCAGAGGTAACCCTGGCCCCTTGTGGGGTGCCCTGAGTGGAACCTCAGGGTGGAGGCAACTGGGGCTGAGGGTGGGGGGTGGTGACCCAGAGGCCACTTTGACCACCCTCTCCTGGCCCAGAGCTATTCCCTGTGCTGCAGAAGCACCTGTGCAGCCCCTGCTGGGAGGTGAGGGACTCGGCGCTAGAGTTCCTGACGCACCTGAGTATGTGCTGGGGAGGTGAGTGCCAAGGGTGAGGGTCTTGCTGGCCCTGGGTCCCTGGGCCACCTGGGCTGCCCTAGCAGCAGTGGCCACAGCTCCTTTGCCCTTTGATGCCCAGGGGAGGCCAACTTCAGGGAGGTGCTCCTTGCTTCTGATGTACCCAAGCTCGCCTGGCAACTCCTGCGAGACCCTGAGAGCTACGTCCGTGCAAGCGCAGTGACCGCCATGGGGCAGCTTTCCAGCCAAGGCCTCCAGGCTGCCTCCGATAGCCCTGGGCATCCAGAGGTCCAGCAGGTAAGAGGGGGTGGGGTCCTCAGCCATGTGCCTACCCTGGGAGGCTGGGTGTGGCTTGTGCGCTGGGTGAGTGGCCAGCCAGGCCCCGAGCAGCTACTTTGGGATTAGTCTGGGCCAGTGCTGGCAGAAGTAACCTCTGAAGTGCTAGGGACTTGGTGAACCCATTCGCAGGGGTGTGAGCACAGGGCTGAGGGCTGCGTGTGCCCCAGCACAGGCATGACGGAGCTGAGCAGCACGCGGCCCCAGCTGCTGCCCTGGTCCTGGGTGCTCATGTCCCTGAGCTGCTTGCTCCCTGGCCACCAAACTTCCCCACTTTTGGTCCCACAGGGCCTGGTTGGGGAGCTCCTGCATATCCTGTCCGTGGACTCGGAGGGGTTCCCGCGAAGGGCAGTCACCCGGGTCTTCACTGAGTGGCTGAGGAACAGCCATGCTGATGTGGTCCAGGACACGGAGTGGTTTGTGGCCACTGTGCTCCAGATGGTGAGCCGGGACCTGGACTGGGAAGTCCGGGCCCAGGGCCTGGAGCTGGTGCAGGTGTTCCTGGCCCAGACACTGGGGCAGCCCAACCCCTCCTGTCCCTATGCCGTGGCCCTCCCCAAGGTCACCCCACCCAGCCCACTCCCTGAGGTGCTGAGGACTCTCTGCCAGATGCAGATCTTTGACTTTGCCTTTCGTGCTTTGTTTGACTGTGATCGACCTGTGGCACAAAAGGCTTGTGACCTCCTCCTCTTTCTGAGGAACAAGAGTGCTCCCTGCAGTGGCCTGCAGGAGGCTGGGGACAGCTCTGATGTGGCCTCTGTGGAGGCCACCCTGGAGAGGTGGCAGGTGGGTGAGCAGGGCCAGCCCCTGGGGAGCCTAGAGCCCGAGGTGGTGCTGGCTGCCTTGAGGTCCATGGACCTGGAGGGCCTCCAGAGCAGGCTGGCTGAGAGCAGCGACCACGTGGAAAAGAGCCCCCAGTCGCTCTTGCAAGATGTCCTGGCCACAGTGGCCCTGCTGGAGGAGAATGTGGCCGACTGCTACTGAGGCCACGTGCCTGTGGGCTCCAAGCAGGACTGGCTGCACAAGTACCAGATTAGAAAACCCCACATTTTGATGAATTATTAAAAGAAATAGCTCATTTTCTACATAAAACATTCCAGGTCAATTTTGCCTTTGGGTTAAGCCCAGGCTCTGGTTCTGTTCTTCTGCACGTGGCTGTCAGGTGTCCCCCTTGCCATTCACAGAGGAGCCCGCCTCCCCACCCCCCTGTGTGCTCTCTGCGCCTTGGTGGATCCGTGACCCCTGGGAGAGGGCTCCTTCCTGGGCTCTGCCCGCCCCCTGCTGGATGAGTCTGTCTTCATGCCACACTGATGGAGTTGCTCTAGCTCTGCAGTAGACAGTAACATCAGGTAGTGTGATGCCTACAGCTTCTGCTTTTCTTCCTCAGCATTGGTTTATTACTCGGGGTCTTTTGTAGTGCCATATGAACTTTGGGATTGCTCTTTCTATTGCTGTTGTAATATACGGTTTGAGATTTTGGTAGAAATGACATTGAATCTGTAGGAGACTTTGGGGAGTATGGCCATTTTGACACCATTGCTAGTCTCAACCCTAGAACTCAGGACATTTTTAATATATTTGGGTCATTTTGGTTTCCTTCATCCATGTATTAGCATTTTCAGTGTGCAGGACTTTCACCTTCTTAAGTTTATTCTTTACTTTATTCTGTTTTCCTTTGTGTGTGTGTGTGTGTGTGTGTGTGTGTGTGTGTGTGTGTGTGTGTTACTGGGGATTGAAACCAGGGGTGCTCTACCACTAGATACATCCTCAGCCTTTTTTTTTTGGGGGGGGGACTGGGGATCGAACTCAGGTCTCTTGCACCTGCACAGCAGGCGGTGAAACCACTGAGCTAAATGCCCGGCCCCATCCCTTTTTATTTTAAAACAGGATCTTCCTAAGTTGGCCAGGCTGGGGTCAAACTTGGGATCTTCCTGCCTCAGCTGCCTGAGTAGCTGGGGTTACAGACATGCACCACCGTGTTCTTTTTTATTCTATTATAAATGGGATAATTTTTCTCTTGGTACTGGGGATCGAACTCAGGACCTTGCACCTGCAAGGCAGGTGGCGGAAGCACTGAGCTAAATCCCCAGCCCAGTTTTTCTTGATTACATATTTTTATTATTATTTCAGTTTTTATTGGTACATGTTTGCAGTACATAATGATTTCACTTACTGTGGGGATTTGGTATGTGTACCTTACACATCTTAATTCTTTTTACTCACCCTTCCCTCTATCTCTTGGTGAAAATGGGATTATTTCCTTCATTCCTTTCTCACAAAGTTTGTCATTAGTGCATAGAGATGCTTCTTATCTTTCTACATCGATTTTTGGTGTCCTGAAAATTTACTGAGTTCATTTAGCCATCAGTCTTTTGGCAGAGTCTTCAAAGTCTTCTGTATAGAAAATCATGTCCCCTGTGAACAGATTTTCTTTCTCCCTCCTTTCTGGTTTGATGCTTTTTGTTCCATTTTCTTAGTCACTCTCGCCATGACCTCCACCGTGGTGGTGCAGAAGTGGTGTGAGAGGCACCGTCTTGGTCCTGACCTCGCGTGAGAAGCTTTGGCTCTCTTTTGTCAAGCATGATGTTAGCCATGGGCTTGGCCATGAGGACACTGAGTCAATCGCTTTTATACCTAGTTTGTTGAGTGTTTTTATTGTGAAGGGGGTTCAGTGCTTTTTCTGCATCTGTTGAGAGCATTGTGTGATTTTTGTTTTTCTTTTCAGCTCATGTGTGTCACATTTATTGATTTGTATGTATTGAACTGTCATTGCATCCCAGAAATAAATTCGACTTGATTATGGTGAATGATCCTTTTAATGTACTGCTGAATTATGTTGGTTCATATTTAGTTGCAGACTTTTATATCTGTGTTCATCAGGGATATTGGTCTATAATTTTCTTTTTTGTGCTGTCCTTATCTAGCTTGGTATGAGGCTAATGATGGCCTCATAAAGTAAGTTGGGAACCATAAAACTAAAAGAAAACACAAGGAGCCAGATGTGGTAGCACATGCCTGTAATTCCAGCACTCTGGGAAGCTGAGGTAGGAAATTTCCAAGTTGAATCCTGGACTGGACAACTTAGTGACTTAGCAAGACCCTGTCTCAAAAAATGAAAAAGGTCTGGTATATAGCTCAATGATAAGGACCTGGGTTCAATCCCCAGTACTACGGGGCGGCGGGGGGGACACAGAGAGAGAGAGAGAGACAGACAGAGAGGGAGAAAGCAGAGGAAAAAAGTTCCTTGACTTTGGTGTTGGCACTGCATTTTTTGGACATGACATCAAATGCAAAAACAAAACCTGTCAGTGGAACTACATCAACCTAAACAGCACCTGTATTGCTAAGGAAACAATCAACAAAATGAAGATACTGTCAATGGAATAGGAGAGCTTATTTGCAAACCATAGGTCCAATAAGGTTTTAATATTCGAGTGTATAAGGAATTCACACAACTCAGTAGCAAGAAGAAATAGAATAACCTGATTAAAAAATAAGCAGACTTTTTTTTGCCAAACACGACATTGATATATGAAAGGATGCTCAACATCACTAATTAGCAAAGCCACAGCGAGCAGGATACAAAATCAAAACCAATAGTGTTCCTGTACAGCAATAATGAATCCACTGAGAAATTAAGAAAACAATAGTTTCAAGAAAAATGAAATATTTAGGAATCAGCCTGCCAAAGAAAGTGAGAGACCTTTACAGCAAAAACTGGTAGCCTGAAAAAGGATATAGGACATCAGAAAGAGAAAAGATTCTGCTATTCCTGGATAGGCGGAACTAATATTGTGAAAATGGCCATGCCACCAGAACTGATAGATAAATTTCATGCAATCCCAATCAAAATACCAACAGCATTCCTTATGGAATTAGAAAAACCAGTTCTAAAGTTCATATGGAATCAGAGGAGACCTACAATAGCAAATGCAATCCTGGGCAATAAGAGCAAAACAGGAAGCATGACAGTCCTAGATTTCAAGTTATATTTCAAAGCTACAGTGATAAAAACAGCATGCTACTGACACAGAAACAATGTGGATCAGTGGAACAGAATAGAACATTCAGAAACAGCCCCAGGCATATTCAACCATCCAATACAGGATAAAGCAAAGACAGCCTCTTTAGCAAATAAGTGCTGGGAAAAATGGCTATCCAAAGGCAGAAGACTGAATCTAGACCCGTATCTCTCACCATGTCCTAAAATTAAAGACATAGTAAAACAAACACTGTAATCTGCTGGAAAAATGAGATAGGTAAAACTCAAAGACGTAGGCATAGGCGAGGACCTTCTGAAGAGAACATCAGTTGTACAAGAAATAACATCAAGAATCAATGAATGGACTTATATCAAAAAGCTTCTGCACAGCAAAGGAAGCAACAGAATGAAGAGACAACCAACAGAATTGACAGAGGATTAGTATTTATAATATATAAAGAACTCAAACTAGCCACCCTCATAAAAGACCCAATCAAAAAAAGGCCAATCGATTGCTGTTTCCCCTGCTGTTCTTAGCTGATCTCTTGATAACAGCCATTCTTTCTTGAGTGAGATTGTTTTAATTTGCATCTCTTCAGTGACCAGTGATGTTGAACATTTTTTCATATATTTATTTGCTGTTTGTACTTCTGAGAAGTGTCTATTCATTTTAGATGGTCATTTTTTGATTGGGTCTTTAAACTTGGGAGGTCTGATTTTTTTTTTTTAAGTTCTTTATATATTCTAGATATTAGTCCTTTGAGGAACAGTTGGCAAAAATCTTTTCCAACACTATGGTTTGTCTCTTCACTATGTTAATGATTTCTTTTGCTATGCAAAAGCTTTGTAATAAGTTGTTGATTCTTTGTGATATTTCCTGTGTGATTGGGGTGTTGTTCATAAAGTCTTTGCATACACCAGTGTCTTCAAGAGTTCTACCTATTCTATCTTCCAGCAGATTTAGTGTTTTTGTTTTAATATTTAGGTCTTTGATCCATTTTGACTTGAATTTAGTGCATGGTGAAAGATATGGGTCTAGTTTTAATCTTTGGCCTGTGGAAAGTCAGTCTTTCCAGCACCATTTATTAAAGAGGCTCTCTTCCAGTGACGCTATTTGGCTTGTCAAAGATAAGGTGGCTGAGTGTGTGTGGCATTGTTTCTGCATCTTCTAATCTGTTCCATTGATCCTCAGGTCTGTTGTTGTTGTTGTTGTTTGTTTTTTTGCCAGTACCATACTGTTTATACCACAGTAGCTTTGTAGTATAATTTGGAGTCAGGGATTGTGATGCCCCCTGCCTTCCTTTTGTTGCCCAGAATTGCTGTTGTTATTCTATGTCTCTGGTTCCAAATGAATTTCAGGATTGTTTTCTGTAATTCTGTGAGATATGCTATTGGAATTTTGATTGGGATTGCATTATAGCTGTATAACAATCTTGGAAGTATGGCCATGTTCACTGTATTGGTTCTTCCTACCCAAGAAAAAGCGATATCTTTCCATTTTCTGATACTATTTTCAATCTCTTTTTTTGAGAGTACTGTAGTTTTCCATGTAAAGGTCTTTTACTTCCTCTGAGGTATTTCATTTTTTGGATGCTATTGTGAAAGGTGTTGTTTCCCTAATTTCTCTCTCAGTGCATTTGTTATTTGTGTCCAGGAATGCTGTTGATTTTTGAGTGTTGACTTTACATCCAGCTATGCTAGTGAATTTGGTTATTAAATCTAGAGGGAAAAAGGAACCCTTCTCCACTGTTGGCGGTAGTGTAGACTGGTGCAACCACTGTGGAAATCAGTGTGGAGATTCCACAAAAAACTAAAACTAGAGGTCCCATTTGACCCAGCTATTCCCCTTTTTGGTATCCTCCCAGAAGAATTAAAAGCATCCTACCACAGCAGTGTATGCACATTCATGTTTATGGCAGCACAGTTTGTATTAGCTAAATCTTGGAAACAGTCCAGATGCCCATCAACTGACAAATGAATAAAGAAGATATGGGTTTTCTATACATTGGAATACAACTCTGCCATAAAGAAGGATGAACTTGAGACATTTCTAGCTAAATGGATGCACCTTGAGGCCATACTCCTAAGTGAAATAAATCAGACACACAAGTTAAATACCACATTGTCTCTCTGGTCTGAGAAACAAAGTGGAAATAAAAACCAAAGTGTATAATAGATAGAGAAATGAGAAGAAAATGTTCATATAAGAAGGGGAACAAGGAGTGGAGGGGAAAAGGAAAGAAGGAACAAAAAAAAAGAATGGAAGGAAAAAATAGAAACAGGAAAGAAGGGACAAGAAAAAAAGAATAGAAGAAAAAATAGAAAGAAAACAAATAGGGGAAGAGGGGTTGAAGAGTGAAGGGAATGGGAGAAGCAGTAAGATGTATCATGTACAGGTACAAATTCCCTTTGATGAATGTGATCATTATGCGTATCTAAAATGTACCAATATGGGCCAGGGATTTAGCTCAGTGGTTTCGCCGCCTGCTGCGCAAGTGCAAGGACCCGAGTTTGATCCCTGGTACCCCCTCCGCCAAAAAAATAAATAAAATAAAATGTACCAATAAATGTTTTGCTTAAAACAAAAAAACAAAAAAGGCCAATTGAAATGAACAGACACTATATGGTCATATGGTCCTGCCCAAATACATGATTCCGGGGTTGTCATGACAAGTGCCTGAGATTGACCAGTGGGACTCGTCCCCCAGAGTCTGCTGCCTTGTGGTGCAGTTTCTTTGGGTCCTTGAGATACCTACCTATCTATCTCCTGGGAATTGAACCCAGGGTCTTCACAGCTACCTCCCCAGCCCATTTTATTTTGAGATAGTCTCACTCAGTTGTTCAGGCAGGACTTAACTTGCAAGGATTCAAGTTCAAGGATCAAATTCAAGGAGGATTGCAGGTTCGAGCCTCCTGTCTCGGCCTCCCATAGTGATGGGCTTACAGGTGTGTGCCATTGTGCCCAGCTTCTTGGTTGTCTTTAACTGTGTGCTGCTCCACTGAAGTGTCCTGTGGGGTTCTTCAAGGTCTCAGATGTGGTGAACCCGACTAGGAAGGAGTCAGGTCAGGGCATTACTCCTAGGAAGCTCTCCAAACCCAGACTGCATGGAGTGCTTTCCATCCCCAAGTCTCTGATTTCTTAGGAATCATTTTTCCCCACTTTTGTTTTGCTCCTCTTAGCATCACAACCAGTCTTTCCTCTAGTCCCCTGAAGTTTGTGGCAGGATGGGGGTATGGGTTAAATTTGGGTTCATTGCTAGGCTAGGAGGATGGCCCCTTAGGTTTGCCGTCTAAAGTGGGGAGGAGGGTAGGTCTGGCCTGGATTTTTCTTCCTCCTCCCTCTGGAGGCCACTGAACCAGAGCCCAAGTTTGCTGGTATTGGCCAACCCTCTCCAGGCAAAAGGACACTGACCAGTCAGGATAGACATTGGCTGGTATGCCCAATCAAGATGCAGCAGCTGATGTCAGCACTGTTGCTATGCAGATTTCACTTTCCAGTGAAAAACAGGCTGGTTTGTCTAGAGCAACCATCTCCCTGCAAACAATGAAAAATGCTGGGGATATAGCTCAGTGGCAGAGTGCTTGCCTGGCATGCATAGGCCCCAGGTTCAATCCTAGCAAAAAGCAAAACAAAACAAAAAAACCTCAAAACCTAGATAAAATATTTAATAACCATCACCTTAGGAACTCTGAAAGGCTGACAAGACAGTGGGTCAGTGCCAGGCCAACTCAGGGGACATTAGATCTCTCAGATGCAAGGCCCTCCAGGAAGGTGTGGTACAGCCGAGGTCAGCTCTAGGCCTAGGGGAACTTCGAGAGAAAGGGGACCCTACTGTCCAGGTGCCCACAGGCAGTAGCACTGAACCTGGTCCTCAGAGGAGAGAAAAGACACTCAAACCATGTGGGGCTGAAGCTTCATTTTGTCAACTTGATTGGATCGGGAGCCATCCAGGCGCTTAGCAGAGCATAGTTATGGGTGTCTGGGTGGGTCATGGGGGTGTAGCCTTGGGGACTATACCTGATCCCTCACTTCTTCCTCTCTGGCACTCTTCCCAGCCACCATACACTGAGCAGCCTTCCACCCCCACACCCTTCCACCATGATGGTTCTGTTTTGGAGCCACCCAACCATGGACTGAATCTTTTGAAACCATGAGCCAAATTAAAACTCTCCTCCTTTAAGTTGTGGTGTTAAGTACTGTATCTCTGGGACAGGAAAGCTGACTGACACACACTACTTGCTGCCTACCAAGTGCTGTTTGAAGTAACACACTTCAAACACGGGTCCTCAGGGAAAAACACTGACACAATGGAGGCTCAGACCCAGCCAGGTACTTATGGCCACACCTGCTCCCACAGGTCCCAGGCCTTCACCTGCCCCATCTGTAGGCTGGGACAGTGACCCTCCTCGGTGTCAGTGTCCTAAAGGCCACAGGGGGCTGTATGTGGCATTTCTGTGCTGATGTCTAGTGCAGGCCAGCCCATATGAGACCTGTGTATACCAACATGGGCATTACCTTACTAACTAGTTGGCCCCAGGACGCAGGACAGGCACATGGGTCCATTTCACAGGTAGAGAAATTAAGGCAAGGGAGGGAGTAGAGACTTGGGCTTCTGCTGTAGCAGCTAATGCCATGGGCTTGAAATGGGAAGCCCCCTCCCATAAACTCTTCCACCAGGCCCTCTGGTCTGGGCTGTGGCACTGGCAGCCAGCAGGGCCAGACACAAGCCCTCAGTCTGTCCTGGCTCTCAGCATCCCTGGGGAGCTGTTAAAGTATTCAGCAAGTGCTGACTGTGTGAGTTGAGTGGCTGCTAGCCTGGACCCTAGGATGAGCATGTATCAGTTAACTAGTGCTGCACAACAAACTAGCCCCAAACAGGACACCTAGAACAACAGCCTTATCATTTCCAAAGGGTTGATGGGCCTACCAGGCATCCACAGCCCTGGGGTGGGTGTGGCTGACCTTGGCTGGTGGATTGGTGGAGGGTGGCTGGTCCCCAGTGGCCTCAGTGAGGACAGCCCTACTGCCCTCCCCATCTAGCAGGGCACCTGGGCTCACTTCCCTGCTGTAGCCAGAGTCCAAGATGGCAGGTAGAGGCATGAATATCTCTCAAAGCCCAATCTCAGGACTGGCCGAACTTGGTTTCTGCAACTTTCACTGGCCAAGTACTCTACCTTTGGGAAGAGCTGGTGAGTCAAGGGGTAGAGAATTGGGGTCACTTAGCGATTGGCCTGCCACAGAGGGGAGCCAGCACCATCACCTCATAGATCCAGCTCTGAGGAGGGGGTGGTGGTGCTCAGGGGGCCATTGATGTCCTCCCCAAGACAGGGCCTCCAGTGGGGTGGTGAAATCATTGGTTCACCTGCAGGACTGGAGCCCTTTATGAGCATGTGTCCTAAGCAGCTTTGCAGCCTCAGCCATCAGCCCAGAGTGGCTATCCCAGGAGGTTTGTTGAATGACTGAATGACCTAAGTCAGCTTCTCTACCAGGCAGCCCAGAGGAACAGTCCCAGAGCCTCCTTCTTGGAGTGCAAGCCTAGTTTGGGGTGGAGGGTGTCTCCATTTGGGGCATCCCCCCTGTGTGTGCCAGGAGCTGAGGATGGAGAAACCTCCCACCCTGCCCCCTCTGAGGGGACCCTCTTCCCCACACTCATCAGTTCCTGTCAGAGCCAAGATGTGTCGCCATGGAAACTGCTTGGCAAATGCTGGCAGGCAGAGGCGGCCAACAGCAGCTTGTGAGCTCCGGGTGCCCGTTGGAGTGACGCTTCAGGAGGGCGTGAACAGGCACGCCCGGCTGTGACATGTGTGTAGCAAGTGAGGACTTGGGGCAGCGAGGGTGGGCAGGGGTGGCAGGGGCATGCGTTTCTCTGTGTGTGTGTGTGTGTGCATGCATGTGCAGGTATGTGTATGTGCGTGTGTGCATGTGTGTGTAAATGGAGGGAGCTGTGCTCACGTGCGTGTGTGCTGGGTGTGTGCAGAGATGGGAATGTGTGAGTGATGCTGCCACAGCTGGGTGCTCACTGTGGTCTGGGCTCCCAGTAGGTGCTGACGAGAAGGGATGAGGCGGCCACCGTCCCTCCCAGGCCCCTGCCACATGCAGCCGCTGACCAGGTAACTGAGTGGAGACGGAAGGTGGGAGGGCTGCTGGGAGGAGGCAGCGGGACCTGCAGCCTGACCGCAGGTGGGAGTGGTCCTGGCAGTGGGCAGGAGTCCAGGGCCCCAAGGTGCGGGGCGAAGCCAGACTGCGCGGGATCAAGGTCAGGGGCCTTGGCCCACCGAGGGAGCCCAGCTAGGCTAGGGTGCCCTGGGCCAGCAGCTGGTAAGGCTGGGAGTGCGGGCGAGTGGGCAGGCTTGCTCTGTAGGCCGGGGGCCTTGGCGGGTCACTATTGGCTGGGCCCTGGGAGGACGCAGTGGGGCTGGGGAGGGGCACTCCAAAGAGCTGGAGGGGCAGGATGCTCCCTGGTGACTGGGCGTGTGGGTACGGAGCAGAGCGGGCCAGGACGGGGACAGAGGAAGGTTTGGGAGCCCCTGGCCCCAGGGCCTCTCTCCAGGCCCCTGGCTGGGTTGCGGGAGGGCCTCCTCATGTCCCCTTACCCCGCACTCGTGTGGAGCTCCAAGGCGCTGGCTCGGGGTGTCCCGGCCACTTCATCTGGCTCTGGCGCCCCCAAGACCCCCTGCAGCCTGTCCCACCCCAGTCCTGAGGACTTGGACAAAGCTGCTGGGCCAGGAGTTCTGTGACTTCTGTGACCTTGTGTGCCCACAAAGCTGTGGCCCGCGGGCTAGGCTGGGTGTGGCTGCACCTGAGCTTCTCACAGGTAGCCCCTGCCCTGGGAGTCTGTGCCCTAGGCTTGCTGTTCTGCGCTCTGCCTCCTCCCTGGGCTCCCCTGCCTGCTGACCACAGGGGAGGGGACTCCCAGGACCTGGGTGCGGCCCTGGTGGGCACCCTGGGCAGATCACCACACACAGAGCCTTTGAGGTCATGGGGATGACAAGGATGAAAGCCATGTGTGTGCCAGGCAGAGCTGCTGCTCTAAGCGGAGAGCTTGGCGCGTGCCTGGGGCTGCCAGTGCTCCTCCCTCGGTGCCCCTCCTCCTTGTGCAAGTCCATCAGCCCCGCTGCCCCTTGGGGAGCTGAGGGGTGGGTCTGGGAGGGGAGGCTGCCTGGACTTAGCAGCCGGCTCAGGTGGGTGGGACCCAAGTCTGCCCACCACACCCTGTCCTGCCTGGGCAGCCAGTGTGCCTGGCTCTGGGCACCAAGGACCACATTCATTGTGTCAGGTCCTGGTGCAGGGCCTGCGGGATTGTCTCCCCGTAGCCCAGAGCCAAGGTGAACCCTGACAGGCATGGCAGGCTGTGGGGCGGGCCTAGGGCGCTGCCCCCAGGACACCTTCATCCCAGGAGATCTCTCCCAGGGGAAGAAGTGACAGGAATTCGCGTGGCTCTGACCGCAGGAACCCACCTGGGCGGAGGGAGGGAGGGAGGGTGACAGTGAGACATGAGTGAGACACCAGGAGAGACAGACGAGAGATAGAGACCCCTCCCCAGAGAGACGGCAGACAGGGATGGGGACAGAGAGACGGCAGACAGGGATGGGGACAGAGAGACGGCAGACAGGGATGGGGACAGAGAGACGGCAGACA